TTCTATAACCAAGTTTCTGTATATGTTATATTATATTAGGAGTAATCGTCATAAAAAATATTGTGCTAACTTTGTGTGGACAGAGGTGAATATTATTAATATAAGTTATTAATTTTTATTTTATAGATATTAGAAGAAAAAAGCAATTTTAAGATTGTTCTAAAAATAGTTTTAAACTATTTTTTAGTTTATATAAAAAAATAATTTGGGCCTAAATTATGATCTTTTTTAAGACCTTTTTTTGTGTAACAATTGCTCTTATTATCTATATTCTATACATATAAAATCCAAATACCACTTATTCACTGATCTCTGCAACTCAAAAATTACACAACGTATGAACTTGAAATGTGGAATAGAGGTTCTTCTCATATTTTTACCGTGCAATAAGAAAGGATTTTCAAAAATGTTGCGTTTTAGTGGAGTAATTTATGAATTAAAATAAATTAAGAAAAATGGAAATTTTTACGCATATCCATATTATCATTAAAACTATTGTTTTGTAACCAATGGTTACCATTAAAACACTTATGTTATAAGAATTGTTATAATTATATTATACAGAATTAAATTTTAAAAATAGCTAAATTAATTTAAAAATATTATCTATCTGTTTATACCATACATTTATTCAAACTATTTTATAGTAAGATTGAACTAATTTAAAAATTAATAATAAAGTTCTTGAAGAATTAAAAAACAAAGCTAATTTTTGGGGCCTCTCTGCGAGTTTCGCGAGAACAGGCCTTTTTATGTTCCCATTTTGTTGTTATCACCAATTTTTTTCACAGACTCGTTTCAAATACCCTCCTTAACGTCACCACATCACTCGATTCTTAATTTTTTTGTCTGGAGAAGATAAGGAGGGGTGTATTTTATTTAAATGTTCCAATTTTCTGACGACACTATTTAAAATTTTTCCAACTTTTTTACAAAAGCGTATACCTAATACTTAATATCGCTAGAAACATTTCTATACGTTTTCATTAATCATTTTTCATATTTATTTGCCGATCATATTTTTAAATAATAAAATTTGAATAAAAAATAATTCCACATATCTAGTGGCGCAAATAGGGAGGGGGCTTGGGGGGACTTAGTCCCCTCAAAAAGACCTAACCATCATTTTATTCTGTGTCAGTCACAAAAAATGTGGGACTTCAGTCCCCCAAAAACATTTAAGCTAGTTGCGCCACTGCACATATCAATATATCATATTCCGAAGGCAAAATAAACAACCAATCACGGGCAAAGCCGTGACGGGTCGGCTAGTTAATTATAAATTTTCTCCCAATGTCTGTAAACATTTACAATCTTTTACGGAAGGTATTTTACCAATAAAATCTTCTATCGTGTTTAAATCTAAATTTTTTATTATATCCTGATTATATATTCTAAAAGTTAACCTTTAATTCCCCAAACATTACTATCGATATGTAAATCAAAAATACAAGGAAAACGGTTTTCATTATAATTATTCTATCCATTAGTCTCTATATTCATAAAATTTTCCTCCTAAGGTAATCAAATAACTTCTTACCCTTTAAAAGAAAAAAAAAAGCAAAAATAATTTTGTTATACTTATTGATAAAAATTGTTTAGCTCTTTCCTTAATACATCTTGCAGAATATACCTCATTCTCTTTTACAAGAGAGTAATCTGTAATCAAAATCTGTGGTCTACCATAAACGTAAATAATTTATAAACATTTTTATCTCCCAATTTTTGTAGTTATTTTTATTTTGTGGTTTTTTTTTTTGCGATTATTAAAAAAAATATATATTTTATCAACTTTTTATGTTAAATTAAATTATGAACTTTTGTGATATTTTTTTGTTAAATTGATTTAAAATTATTTTTCTGAAGGTTTTCCGCATCGTTTTATTTGTATGTAAAATTGATCAGATAATGAAATTTTAAACAGAGAATTAGAGAACTGCACCAGGAATGATATTATACTTATAACTTATTAAGGTCTCGTAAAAAGTTTTGTTATGATTTCGATATCGAGTTGTTTAATCGACAAAGAAATCATCAGTTGACATTTCTACAGCATTGTCGTCACTCGCGCCACTTTCATCACAGAATGTGTTTTTTGTTATGTGTCTAGCTTTATTATGTTGAATAATTAAAAACAAACATTTTTATGAAGATGTTGTTACTTGAAAAAAATAAAATTTCATAATTCTTGTCACATATTATTTATTAGCATCGATCATACTTATCTAAATTATTATTGACTTTTTCTAAAAAGTGATAATATTTTGGAACTTAGTTTACATATTCCTTCAAAAAGTGTCTGCTCCAAGTGACGAGTAGTGACGTCAAACCCATATTCTTATAAACCTAAAAGATGGTGTTAATTCTAACTTTTTAAAAAGTGATGTGATGGTAACTAATTTCTATACTTTGCTTCACCAAATAAAATACACGTTGGTGCTTACGTTTAAGTCACTAGTCGCAGACTATGCAATTAGATTTATACGTAAACATTCAATGAACCTTTGATATCTCATTTTAAAACTAAAAATATGCGTCTAGGATGTGATTTTTAGGATATCCCATTTACGTTATATTGTAATGCCTAAAATCGCAGTATATTCAGTTTTTTACTAAGCAATTAAAAAAATTTAGAGATTTCTTAAAATTTATGTACTCCAAAGCTAAGAATCATAATATTTGATTCGTAAGTCGTTGTTTATAGGCACAGATAATCATTATTTTTATGGTTAACACTTGAAAAAAGCTTAGGTATCATAAAATTTTATTTTAATTATTCATTTACTTACTGTGGTCTAATTGGAAATACATTACAAGTTTCAAAAATATGTTTAGGTCATTAACCCTGGATCTTATAAAAGTTGTTCTAATAGCGTTGACTTCCTATTTAAGCTTATACAATCAAGATATGTACGTAATCCATTTATTTGATTCATTAACATTGTAGATAGATTCTTCATTATTTGGTATATTATTTTATTTGCCTTTTAGTCGATAGCCAAATCCTCTACGTTTCGATTATTCAAAGTATAACAACATATAATAATTACTATTCCTCATATTTCATACTATACTTTTATTCTCATTATTACTTCATGTAATCAAAATATGTTAAATGCTGAGCAAAGTAATGAATATATTGATTTTATCATTGTGTTAGATATTTTTTTATATCTGTTTACACAATTTGTAATCAATAAACTGATCCAATTTTCACTTTGAGAGTGGTTGTTTTGGATAACAAATTGAATCTAGTTTGTAACTAATGGTTAATTTATTTATTAATGAATATAAAACGTATTTTCTTATTATCCTATAGTATTGATTTCTTTGCAATATGTTTATACCATAACAATTAGTAACTCTTCAAAGTGCATTTTATTGATTTTAAAATACATCTAATCATCTAAACATTAACATATTTTAAGCTTACCGTTCCTCTATTTTACAATACCATTTTGAAATTCTGATCGTACGCTTTTAGTTTTACCTATTTTCATGTCAATGTATGACTTAAAACTAGAGCTAGAATTTTATAACCTAAAAACATTTTATTTTAAAATTATTACTATTATTAATTATTTTTTATATTAACATAATAAGTAAAAATGTATTTTAAGAAGTAAATTGAACAAATATATTCAAATTTGAGTTGTTATTATTTTTTCAATATCAATAGTATGGAATATATAATTGGGATAACCTTTTCAACATATTAAAAAAAACCTTAAAATAAACAAAAATAACCTAATATTTGTAAAAACGACCTGAAAAATGCAATAAAATTCATTCAATACAAATAAATGCAAAATAAAATTTATCCATTCTAAATTGTATTTAACAATTTTAATTAATTTCTTTGTTTTTTATCTCACGTTTTCAGGTAGTTTTTAATTGTATAATTGCATAACTATTGAATGGGATGTAATCTTTTGAAAAGTACCAACAATATTCTCATAACTGGGTAAAGACTAAATGTGGGTTTATTACATTTGTATGTAGGTTATAAGCTTAAATAATAATGTCAATAACTAGTGAACAACAACCTTTTATTCTAACATTTTATTCCAGTAGTTCAAGTATCTAAACACCAGTAATCCAAATAAAATTTAAATGATTCAGATATGACACCCTGAAAAAGAGTAATGTTGATCAATTATTATCCATTATATAGTTTTAAATGATAGTAATAATTATATTTCTCACTGATTTTTCAATTTGGAAATGCTCATCATTTTTTTAAATTCTGAATAATCTCAAAGGTTTTAAAATAAATCATACTATAATATTTACACATAGATAATAACTTATTTAATTAGTAAATAAAATTAGTTTTGAAATAAATAAATTTACATTTAGTCTAATATAATTATACTGAATACTTTCATAATAAGAAATACATTTTAATAACATAAAACATTGTCAGTCTCGTAACTGGGTGTACATTTGCACACTTACACAAAAAGTCATAAAATAGTTGGATACAATTAATTTAAAATAATATTTGATAAAATTTAATTTACAGAAGGAGAATTAAAATAGAATAGTGGAAAACATTTTTCGTTATCTATTTAAGAACAAACTAGTTTTTACAGATACATTCAAGATACAATTTTATAAGAATAGTAAAAAATTCCATGCATGTGATAAATACATATCCGAATCTCATAAATTAATTAATTGTACTCAAATATAACTTAGTTAACATGTAAACAAATATTATTACCTAAATAATTATAACTAATAGTATAAATTTAAAAAACAAATGTATACAAGTTATTGATTTTACTGTAAATAATAAGTTATATAAATATTGTACTAAAACAATAGAAAAGTATTAGAAAATATTTATTTCAATAGTAAAATGCTTTTATTGGAAACAATAAACATCAATTCAAATTCATATTAAAAAAGTAACCTACTTATAGTAATAAATAATAATGATAAGTAATAACAGTATGATAAAAAAATAATACATTACAATGAATGTACAAAAAAAATGTTACAGAGTAATAAACTATTATCTAGGTATGTGCAATGAACAACAAATATTTACAGTTGATTGTTTTATTCTTAGAAGAGTTTATACATAGTATGCCTTTCTGTATTCATGTGGCAATATAGAATCATAAGTAACCATATAGTGTTCTTTTTCATGCTGTTCCTCTATATAACTGAAAAAAAAATTAAACGAGCATACAAGACATGTTGTAAAAAATACTAATACTAAACCCACAACACAAATTTATTGTTTTGTTTCAACATTTTATAAAAAGTTCAATATTTTTTGTAGTATACATATTTTGTTTGCATAATGTATATTAAAATTAAAATTTTAATGCATGGGATTTTCTTTAAATATAAATATAGTTTGATAACGTAAGTTAAATTACTTACAAATAACAACTTATATTCTACTTACCAAAGTAATCCTTTGATAAATTCAACCGCATTAGGTATAAAGCTATCTAAGACATCTTTCACTAAGTGGAAAAGTTTGGGTAGTTTTACTGCAAACATTCATATTGTTAATACATTGAGAAAAAGTTAGTAATAAGTATGTAGATATGATATTAAAATATAATATACTAACTAATAAATCTGAGGAAGTGAGGAAGTCCATAAATGTGACACATGGATTTGTCGGTGTTATTATTTTTAACCTGTAGTAAAGTAGTAAATATTTTTTTAAATATACAAAAAAAAACATAATAAGAATTTTTAATTGACATACAATATTATAACATGAGTATTAATCGTATTTAACATTGTTCATAAAATATATGCCATTTAATTTAGAGCATTTTGAATGAGATAATTAATGAGATTTTTCATGGTTTGTCCAACTATGTTAAGTAGAATAAAACAGATTTGAAAACATTTGAAAAATTATTCTGGTCGATTGTTTAATATGCGAAGTATGAAAACATAATTTATTACATGGGATAGAGATTAAAAATAAAAAACTTTTAATATGTATTTTGCATAAACAGACTTATCAAAATATTTTAACTACATATTTTATCCTTTAAATTCTCTTATTTTACCTGTTTTTTTTTTTTAGCGCATTAATTCACACTCTAGTGATGAATAATGTTAATAAATAATAGGATTTACCAAAATTTTAAATTTAAGCTTTGATAATTAAATGAACACTAAATGTTTATTTATTTTATACCAAACAAACGTTTCTGCACTGATGTTTAATTATTACTTCTGTAATAATTTGTTATGTGAACAACATTTGTTCTTTGTCAAGCATTATTTGCTTTTGGGTTTGGTAAACAAATAAAAACCAAAAACTTACATAATCATATTTAGGCCTTTCAAGTGGATGCAACAACCACAAATACAATGAACAGTTAAAAGCTTCTAAAATAATGATAGCCATTTCCATGCATCTAAAATATAATAAGTATTTATTTTTAAAAATGTAGTTATATTTAATAGAAAATGATTTGTATACTAACTTATTTGTTGTAGCTACATAATCTCCTATAATTTTGAACACGGTCATGTATGAAGGTATGATTGCTATCTATTAAAATAAAAACATCAAATAATTTTACGTTTCACAAAGTTTTAACTATTAACCAAAATTTTAATTTTTTATAGTAGTTATACATACACAGCGATCATCTTCAAGCATGTGTTTGTCTATAATTAATATTTCTTGAGCAAACTTGGGCAACTTGACATTGTAGTCTTCTAGTGTCAACATTCCATACCAAGGATCATACTAAAAAATAAATTAAATTATGCACTATTTATAAATCATACACAATAAAGTTGTGTTTTAAATAATAATCAGTATGTTATTAACAATCCATTTATATGGAGATCATTAACGAAGAACTATAGCCTATTCCAAATAAATCTGGAAAAATGTACAATGCGTCCGGTTTCGAGCAGGTATATCACGTGACCAGCCGGCGGTGAGTGCTGTTGGCGAGGATCAAGCCTTGATCGTATTTTTTCAACGCTCCTCGTACGAACAGCAAACAACCTTATATTCCGCTTATACATGCATGGGCGTAGCTAGGAATTTAAGGGGGGGGGGGGGGGGGGGGGGTTATTGATACAATTTAATTTGAAGCGCAGAGGGGGCACTTGCTCAGTCCCTCCCCACACTACGCCCATGCATACACCGTCTCATTGTTTATATGACGTTCCGTATACACGACGGCAAGCTCCGGCCGCCGACCGATCACGACAAGTGCCGATCATTGTATCAATGCCGGTGGACTTGCCTGCGCTATTTTCTTATACTTATTTAGAATAGAGTATACAAACATATTTTCAATATTCTCATTAGTAAACCATAAGTATGTACTCAATTTAAACGTAAATCAACGTTTCCAAATACTTTTTAGTAATAAACTATCACGGGATTTTTTTTTTTTTAATAGTATTTATTCATTATATATTATATCATTCGGTATAAATCTAATTTAGCATTTAATAATATAAATAATTATACAAGAATCTACGTTTTTAATATTTATTTATAGATCATTTTTCCAATAAACTACTTATAATGTATAATTTGATTAAATTTGGTTTTTTACGCCATCTAATTTATGACACTCAATATCGCATTAATTACTATATAATACTGAAATAACACACAAAACAAGCCCGTATTTGAATGCTTACAACTAATGCTACAACTACCGCATGTACAAATTAAGGTGATGCACACAAGCACTATGTTTTAAAAGGTCCTCTATGTATTTTAAATTAAATTGTTTTTTCTTATTGATCTAAAAAATAAATGACGTTGACAACAAAGACCATTAGTTACAACTTACAAGTATGTTTTGAATTAGAGTGGTTATAACACAGATATATACTTAATATTATTTAAGTTACATATTTTTTATATTTATAAGACGGAACAATTTTGTTTGTTTGTTTCATAAAATTAATAATATCTAAGTCTAAGTTTTTTTTCTTGGTGGAGTCCCCAACCGAGAGCGGTGTCTAGTTAGTAGAATATCCGTGCTCGACCCGTTCTTGATTGTACATTAAACAGTCGGCTATTAAATGTTTGACAGTTAACACGGTTCCACGGGTTTGACAATTATATATTTTTATAACTCACTTTAAAGTACTTATTGTAAATTAACTGTGTTTTTATTATTCGAAGAAAAGAGTATCATCATCTATAATAATAGTTGTTGACTGAAGTTGACATCTAAGGTTATTCTAAGAAACAGAAGTATTCAAATGATAAACATGTATTATCATGATTATACATTTTTAACCATAAACCACGATCATTTTAAATATTATGGTTACTATTTCAACTTATCCAATGATCTATTAAGTAAAAAATCTTTGTGATTATCAAAATTTACATTATCATCATAATTTGGATTATTGAAAAAAGGGAAACAAAATTAATTTTTAATATTATTAGGACAAACATTTTTAAGCCGAAACATATGTATAGTCTATTCGGAATGAGATCGTACCTCGGCGGCCGATTTCTGCGCATGGGCGTGGCTTTGTTCCACAGCGCTAGCCTTACAAGCTTTGGTGGTGGGAAAAGCATCTGACCGTCGCGAACGAAAATTGGTCGTCGCCGAGGTACGATCATGGTTTTAAATAGTTTTTTAGTTTCTAGAAAAATCGTAAAAATAAAAACCGATTTTTGTTTTGTTGATATTTACGTATTTTTAAGTATGAGCCAGGGTAAGAGTCTGTAGTGTTTAGACACTCTTATAAAAATATTTTAGTTACCTATTATTTATTTAGTGATATTATTGAAATTGGAATAACTATTTTCATAGTTTATGACTGCTGGACTTGGGTTGTTTCATTTAGTGAATTAAAGATTTTTTAGATTTTAAGATAACTTCAAAATATGTGTGATAATTTTATTTCTAAATAAAAAAAAAGTTACTCTTTTCACTCTTTAAACATTTTTGGCTCTTATTTTCATTTTTTAATAAAAAATAATCAATATTAGTACTGTATATTATTTACGTATAGTTGAGAAAATAATTTTTAAATTAAAATTATTTAGTGTTAGTTGATTACAACCCACTGGCCACTGTTAAACTCTTGCTCACAGGCCCCAAAGCATGTATATGCGGCACTGCAAAAGCAACCGATATTATATTATTTATGTTTTTGAATTGATAGCCAAACGTAAAGTTTAAAACTCAATAGACAAGAATTCAATATTACATAAACGTCATAAATATTCATATATATAATGTAAGATGTTTATTATTAAATTTTGAAGAACCCAACCAAAGGAAATACAATTGCTAATCAGATCTGTTTAGATTATTGGGTCATTAGAAGATAATACAATCACATAGAGAAGTATTTGCGTAACCCAACTTATACTTCTGCAAAAAACCAAAAAAACTTACTAATGCCGGTACACTAATCCAAAACTAACGCGAATCATCAACTTCAAGAGTTTATTGTTACCATATTTAAATATTGAAGACTATATCTTAGCAACAATAACAAACCACAAATTTAAAACAAAAATTCCACCATATCTCTAACAATGTACAATTGCCTATCAATAGCGAGCTATATTCGTTGTTCGTTTGTTAACAACCTATGATTTCGCAGAAATATTTATTTTAAATAGCGGCACAATAGAGATACGCCAAGAGGAAGAGGTGGAGGATAAAAACATATATAGGTCGCGATACACGGAAATGGACCGCAATGACAGTAGCGTATTGTTAGTCGCGGAAGACGGGTTGATTTCGGAGCGGCGGCCAACGACGCCCGGCAAGACCAAAGTACGGAAATGGCTAGCAGGCCTATTCGTGCAGTCGGTGCGCGCCGGCGAAAAGTTGCTGGAGGACGGTCATCTGGCTATGGCGGCGGCCATGTTTGCGAGCGCCACACTGCTCACCGACCGATCGGAAACGTTCACAGACGCAGTCCAACGAGTGTACCCGTGTTATTTTTACCGGCTATACGAATCCCGTATGGTCACCATGGGCTACGGACACCTGTTCCCGGGAACTGCAACAAACGCGACTACCGGAATAGCCGGCGCAGCAATACGCGGACGGTCACCGGTTGGCGGTCGCTTTGGCATTCTTTCAACCGATCCTACGCACCGACCGCCATCACCGACACCATAATGATACTTCAAGCATTATCGTACTAACCAATAGAAAAGCCATCGGGTGTGAAAAACGATAATATTACAGTGTAAAATAGTGTACACATGACTATTTCAAATTAAAATTGTAATAAAACAATGAATAACAAAAGGTTAAAAATAAACGAAATAAACGTGAAAAGTTAAGTATATAAACAAATTAAATACGTTTCACCGATTATATTTTAAATGATTCCTACTCGTTACTATCGCGAGAACAATACAATGAATAATCAAACAATAGCATTCACAGATGAAAACTATTATTTAAATTATACCTTGTAATAAATTATTATAATATTTTCAGTAATAAGATAAAAGATACGTAACGTATATTTCTAATCATTAATATTTAACTGTCAACAGTCGGTGGTATCTATTAGCTAAAAATAATTTGTCAGTGCTTAATTCACAATTGCAAATTAGAAAACTATGTAACAAGACACTTCTTTAGTTATAAAAAGATACAAAATATAAGCAAGTATATGAATGCAAACTATAAAAATCAGATATAACTTATTCAAAATAATAACAGTAATAGACTTGTGAGCAGGGACATGACTTCATTCAGAAGATGTTGCCTCGCGGTCAACTTCATGGGAGAAAACTAATTTACATCACTTGACCGTCGTTAATGAAGACTCGCTGTCAAATACTTATCTTATTTTTAATATCGTCTGTTCTGAAATCTAAATGAAATATCATTACCCGACGGTCAAATTGTGCGCATGGGCGTAGCATAGCATTGTTCCGTGCTAGTACCTGACGCAAAGATATAACAGAAACTGCCTTTTCTTTTTTGTTCAAATAATTTGAAGTACATTGCGCGTATTGTTTTATGCGTCACCCATGACACACGCACATCTACCTCTCGCGACGATGCACAGGTGACCTCCATCACGTGGTAAATATTTGTGGGTGGAATCTAACCACCTATTGACGAAAACCAATCGCCGCCGGGTAATGATCGCATTTTTAATAGACTAATCAAGTATACTGACGGCAAATTTAACCAGTCTTCGGTCAACTAACTTATAACGCCAACAAACTTTAAACAGGTACATTTTTCCACGTATTATTAAAACGAGCAAAATATGATAAAAGTTAATTAAAAACACAAAGTAATTTATAATAAATCATACTCCTTTAAAAATATGTTTTAAAACTTAATGAATAAATAAAATAATAAAAAATATATTAAATTTTATATCAAATATATGTTATAATATATTTATATATATTATTAAAGATTTCCGTCTGTCAGATGCGCGAATTTGTCCAATCTCTCGACGAATAGAGTATAAACTACAATATAGTTTGCATGTCCTAGTAATTATAATCAGGGACACGAAAAGTGGCGTGGACAGCTGCGATCCTAACGGTAAAATCGTCTAATGGGCTCTTAAAACTCTAAAAACAATTAGCTCGCCATTTAAAAATACTCATTTTATAATACGCGCTAAAAGAACGCCGCAAATTGAGAATTATTGTTTGCAGACAGGAGTGAGGGTCGGTTTATAACAAAGGTCACACGCCAGATTTTATGTCCCCGACTATAGTTGTTATGATAGGTAACTATTATTAATTTTTTTTTTTTTTAAAGTTTGATTTTGAGAAAACCAGATTAAGAGATTTTAATGCGTAATATTTCGGTGCTAAGAAATATAATTATTTTTTATAACACTTGGTAATAAATAATAATACTTCATAATATTAATTATAGTCAGCGACACGAAAACTGGCGGGTGATCACAACGATTTTAACGGATTTTCGTGCTAGAGGTCATTTACCATTTACCGCCCTTTTTCAAATATTTCGTATCCATGTACAATTTTTTTTATTTACAGTAAAAGCCGCTTATTAGGAACAAGGATAATTAATACAAAATGTCTCGGGAAAAATCGGCCGTTTATTAGAACATTGAAAATTAATCGGATTATTGAAACATCACATCGGTTATTTAAAACAATTAGGCGAAGGTCAGTTGACATATCACCGATTATCCGGCGATAACCAATTATTTTAATTTTATCTTTCTGTACGTACCGGTCGTACCGTTTGTAGTTTAGCTTTGACGTGCGTACGCAAAGGTGTGTTTCGTTTATCTAAAAATCTAAAAACGTCTAAACGCTAAAATTTAAGCCGATTTTAATGCGGCCAATTGTGGTTTGAAACTCATTGGACTGATTTGCTAGCCCAATACTCACCCTCTGATATTTTCAATGCGGGTGAGACTGGACTTTATTTTAGAGCTCTACCTAAACACACATACGCACTCAAAATAAGCGACAAAACCAAAGGGACAATAGTACTTGTATTAAAATATGGTCATGGAGTTACTTGACACAAAAAAAATCAACTTTGATTGATAAATATTGTAAATAACATCGTAAAATATATACATTTGTACATACTTTTTTAAATTATACAATATATGTACATACATACATATTTTATTCTCGTTTTATTCATTTTTTTTCAATTGCTTATTAGAAACAATCGGTTAAGTGACACATTTCACCTTGCCCCAAAGTGTTTCTAACAAGCGGCTTTTACTGTATTTATTAAACTGTTAACATAATATTCAACAATTGGTAAAAATAATAATATTACATATTTTTCTTAAAATAAGGTGTATTAAACACCGGAAAAGAACGTAAAAAATAAGTTTGTTGCGATAAAAAAAAATGAAAACCACTGTCTACACTTTACAGACTGAGTAAGTACGGAGTAAGATGGCGGCCAACTGCCAGATTTCGTGAGAGAGTGGCAACATATTTAAATATAATAAATAATTTGTCTACGATATTTATAAAAATGAAACATTTTAAATTTAATATTAAATTAAATATAATAACAATCACGCACAAAAATATAAAACAACTAGAAAATTATGGCAGGAGAATAACTTCTTTTTTAATTATTTATTTAATCAAATAAAATTATAGAGATATTATTGAAATCCAACTAGTATTTAGATATTATCATGAATAATTACAGTTAAAACTAAAATGTAATTAATTAATACTAAATGTATATAATTAGTCATTTTTAAATGAAATTCAACTGAATTTTATTTCAATCTTTCCTATAAACTTATTGCAAATAAGAACTATCTTGAATTTATTTTGAACATGTTCTTTCAAATAGATCAAAAATTAAATTTAAATTAAAATTGTTAGTTAAAATATTTAATTTTGTTCAAATTATAACTTAAAATGTTTACAGAAAAATTAGGCTCATCTAATTTTTAGATTGTTGATACCAATATTAATAAAATAAGGAACTATGTATTAATTTGTCAATCTTTAAATAAAAAATTAACATACATTTTAAAACTATACAAAATTTCCTAAATTATAACAAATTTTATCAAAATTTGACCTTCCATTGCTCATTAAATAAAATTGTGCCTATTCATCATTCATATTTATACATAACTATAACAACTTATGAGGAATATAGTTCTTAATTCTTAAGTTTTTAGACAAATAAATACATTTTTATTGATAATTATGAAAAAGTTGCTAAAAAAAATTTTAAAAACCAAATGTCTATAAGGAAGTTAAACATAGTCAAGATAATTTTAAAATTATGCCATAAATAAAAAATTCTAACATAAACAATAAATGAAAAATCTAGCATCTACAATCATATTAATTTTGAAAATCAATTTTTTAACTAAGTCAAAAGCTAGTTTTGCAAAATAATTTCAGTTTTTCTTCAATTTTTAAGAAAAATAATTATCATTTTTACCCACTTTCCCACCAGAAGAATACATTGAACATAAAAATCTGAGCATTTTTTTTAGTTTAAAATATGTATAAATACAAAAAAAAAAACCTTAGTGAAATCAATGTAATCGCTTATATTAATATCTTTAGTGCCTATAAATGTACAATGTAATCAAATCAATATACCTAAAACTATAAACTATTTTAATTTTAACTCACTTCATTACTCTTCTTGCCATTCTTTAATCGTTTTATAGTATCATTTTTCTTATCTTTGTTAATAAGCGGTTTACTCATCAGTGATATTGCTTCGTTAGCTTTTACCTTAGCTGCTCTTGAATCTAGATAAGTACACAAAATAATTTATATAAGTATTGAGATAACTAATAATTTCAATTTTAATTACAAATCACAATATATTAAATTACTAATTAGTGCATTTGAAAATAAAATAAAATTTCTTTTGAACTTATAATGCAATTGGATATCAACAACAGCATGATGAATATTATGCTTTTTTTAACTCGCATAACACACAATTTTAATTTTTTAAATAGTTATTGTCTGTTTAATACTTTATTAAACATGATTACAATATTAAAAAAAAAAAAATAATAACAAGTTCTTTAATTCACAAAAATAAAATAAAATGAACATTGACAAAAGTACATGAAACAACAAACAAAATAATTAAATTACTGAACTTATAAGACATTCTCATTTTGTGACAATTTATTTATTATTATTTCATACTTGTAAATGACCACCTTAGGTTGAAAGTCACACAAAAATAAAAATAAATAACTGAATAATTTTGAATTATAATATAATTAAACATGAGAAATCAGTAATGACAAACAACTAAATAGTTTTCTAATAAACAGAAATCAGATTAACATGCTTACATTGTTTTTCATATCCAAATTCCTCAAAAATACTACGGTCTACATCATCAAAAACGTTATGGTTGTTTTTAGAAATTTTTCTGTTTTTAACATATTGATCATCTGAAAACAAATGAAACATATATCAATAAATATAATAAAAATAATATGATAATAAAATAACCATCTGTAGTATGTGTATCGTCATCAGATTCTATTTGATGATTTGATAGAGGTATTGAATTAGATGAACTAGCACTTTCACATGACCAATTTCCATTGGATGTACGATAAATATTTGATTTGGGAACTAAAACATGATAAGAACAAAGTTTTTTTTTTTAAATACATTTTTATTGATCTAAAACTACCCTACTAAATAAATAAGGTAAATTGCAGTGTCAGCATTTTTACTGACTGGGTAATTGTTAATTTTAATAACAAATACAATAGGAAGAATTACTTGATATTTTAATATGAATTTAACTGATTTTTTAAACGATCTCAGTAAGAAATATAATTGAAAACAAAACACAAATAATAATTAATTAATAAAACACATTCATGTTTCACACCTAGCTTGGTTAACCACCTATTTTATAAATAAAACAAAACTTTAAGTTTTAATTACGAAAACAAAGAAAAAAAGGAAATAATTTAATTATATTAACATGTCATTATAAAAATTTAAAAATAAATAAGTAATAAGATACTTATTAATGGCATACTCAACTCATTTGCTATGATACAAGCTAGTAACTACACATAATATAATAATATTAGTCACAATATATGTAGTAAGCAACTCGCTATTTATTTATGTCTTTATATGTGTATCGTATCTGTATATTTTATATACAGTATTAATCTGATCAAAGATTAAATGTAAAACAAATAACAATTAACATTAAAACTCACTTGGTTGATAGTTATTAATCACTTTATCATCTTTGTCAGGGAGAATATCTACAACATGTGATTTCTTTTTAATATCTTTTTTTAGCTCTCTCACTTCTTTGACACAGTTAACTCCTAAAATCATTAAAGATGAATAAAAGTGAAATAATTTTAGAATAAATTTAACCCTACCATCAGTAACTTTATTTTTAGAATTATTAATTTTCTTCTTATTAATTAATACAGTTGTCTGTATAGTTGAAGTAGCAGTATCAGAAAGATTACTATTATTCAAAGTAAGACTATTGGAAGCTAAATCTGAAACAAAAAATTATTTTTTAAAACAATAATAACTTGAATTTAATTTTTTATATTTTATATATTTAATTTAATATTTAATAAATATCTGTATAATAATTCTATCAGTGAAGCATTATGATTTAACAATTATGTTTTAAAACATAATTTAAATTAAATTATGACGTGTTATATAAAAATGACATCAGAAAAATAAAAACTTAACAATATTTAAGTTTTTAAACTTAATTTTATTAAATTGAAAAATTACATAATGAATAATAATTCTAAATGAACAATACATTTAAAAATAACATATAAATAGTCATTAAACTGCACAAATTTAAAATGGAATCATATAAATTAAAATTCACAACCAATTTAAAACAAAGCTAGTTAATACCAATTATTGAATATAATAAAATGTAGACATTAATTGAATAATTTTAATAAATAATACAATTATTTCAAATTAAAATCACCTAGTTGAGAGTCACCAACTACATTAACTTTGCTGTCAATATTTAAATCTATTCCATTTGACTTTTTCTTTGAATATTTTTTAAGCCCTTTTGACTTATGTTTTTGATCACTTTCTAGACCTGTAAGCAATATAAATGGTTAGTATACAAACAATATAATAATCAGAATTAATATAAAATCTTTACTCTCAGTTGTTGATGTTGAAGTTGATGCTTTGTCTATTCTGTCACAATCTTCTACTGAAAAAAATTGTATTATTTAATATAAATGATTATCATCAATAAATCAAATCAACCTTACCATAAAAATCATCATTTTTATGTTCCTTAATTCTCTTCATTTTAGTTGCCACACTAGTTGATGTGCTGCAAGCTTGAGGTTGGTTAGAAATTTCATCTGAAATAAAAATTATTAAATTAAATCAAAAATGTTCTAAACTGATCAATTGCATTTTAAAATTGAATTAAAAAACACGATTTAAAATATACGTTAACTTCAAATTAGGATAAAAAATATAAACTGAATAAAATGTTTTATTTTAAATAATTAGATTGGAAAGAAAAAATATTACATACCATCATGGTAATCAGCTTCAACATTATTTTCATCGTTAGATTCTAATAAATCCTTACATTTACCCTTAAGCAAACTTCTAAAAACTTGAGTCCTTTTCAGGTAATTTTCTGAAAGACCTATAAATTTTATTAAAAGTTAGTAATAGAACAATATTATTATGGTCAACAATAAATAACTATTACTCTCTGTTGGTTGTAAATATTCATAATGTATTATATGATTATTAACAAATGTTGAAGATGATGAAGCTCTTGATCTCCAAAAATCATCTGAAAATCATCTTAATTAGTTTATATGATTTAATTTTGATTAAACATTTTATCAGAAAATTCAAGTAATTATTACTTCCAGACCCATATAATTATCGCTAAAGTAAATAAACATATGAACAATATAATGGTCGGAGATAATCTTAAAAATAAATAATAATGAATAAAAAGGCAGTAGACTTTAAAATTGCAGATTTGATCATGAAACTCCAAACTTTTAAAAGTAGAATAAATTTACTAAATGCCAACTGCAAGTCTAATATTGCTAAAAAGTGGAGATGATATCATCAGTCTCCACAATCACCTAATCAGTTGGTCATTGATAATCATAAGAAACTTTAAAGATTAACTAACCAAACCCAACCTAACCTAACCGAACCATCAGTTAATTTTTTTTCTATGTTATAATTAATACCTCCTCTTGACTCTGTAACAAATGGTTCTGGTCTGCTAGATTTATCTTCTCCTTTAAAAAAAAAAACCAATCTTAATTAGTATTTATAATAAATTATTAATTATTTATTCATTTTACCATCAGAGACATCATTTTTAAGATTTTTAGTTTTCTTTTCTTTAGTTACATTTGATGATGTTGTTGAACTGCAAGGTTCAGGATGATTACTTTCGTTGGGTATTACATTTTCTGAAATAAAAATAAATAGACACAAGTTATATATATTATGTCTTTAAGTACAGATTATTCAGACGTCGTAGTATGCGGATCTGTCCGAACTTATCTTTTCAATTAACGACATAATTATTCTTGTTATTACAACTGGTTTATGTTTTAATATTTTGATCACTTAATAATATATGTATTTTTTTACTAAATTAAAATTGTAATTATTATTACAGTGAATCATTTTATTCTGTAATGACTGCTCCTACCACTGATACTAATGAGACACTCAACAAAATTTTGGGCACGGTGAATGAACTTAAATCTATTCAAACAAATTAATATCCATCAATTCTTGTCGAGAATTAATTAAAATACAAAACAAAAATTACAGTACTATTGAATCTGAACTTGATATTTTATCCAATCAGTTAACCGAATTTATTTTTGAAAATAAAACCTTAAGAGTTAAAATTGAGAAGCTTGAGACCCAAATAACGACTGTTGAAACTGCGGCTTCTTTTAGAGCTAACGTTGAATCAGTCTACTCTGAAATTATAGATTACCAATCACGAGCTTATAACATTGTTTTTTTTTTTTTTTTTTTTTTTTTTTAACATTTCGGAATTTTCGACAAAATACTCAATAGCATTGGTCTATAAATAAATCATGTATCTGTTCGTCGCTTGGGTAAACAATCAAATAAACCACGTCCTCTGATAGCTACTCTACCTACGAACTCCGATGTTTTTGAAGTCTTAAGAGTAAAACAAAAATGACTTGGTACTGCGAACTTCAAGGATATTCGTATTGCATCTGGTCGGAAATTGTATCCCAACTTAAGGTCCGCAATGAAGCTGGTGAAGATAATTTATTCATTAAATTTATCAACAATATACCCACTGTTTCAAAAAACTACCAAAGAAATTAGCCACTATAAATAATCTATCTGTATTACACGTATATCAGGAAATTCATGGTTTAAATACCAAATTAGATACTTTTATACGTAACATAGCACTTCTTAACTATGATTTGATTATATTAACTCAAACTTGGTTATTCTGTTCTATTAATGACTCTGAACTTGGACTTTGATCTTGTTACTCTGTTTTCCTATGTGATAGCCAAGAAATTCAAGACTCTGACGTTCGAGGTGGTAGAGTCTTAATTGCCGTTAAAATCCAATTTCCGTGTCATCGTTTAATTATACAACACAATTTGGTTGAGCAATTAATTGTAAAAATATATATTTATTCAATTTGTTTAATTGTCGGCTCTATATACTTTCCTCCGCGTTTTGATTTAAATTTATATAATAACCATGTCAACATTATCGATTATCTTATGTGTATCATTTACCTATTGTAATGATACATTTTTGGTGCTAGGTAATTACAATTTGACTTATGTAAATTGGATCATTAATAACCACAAAATTATTCCTAGATTATCAAATAATAATTCTTTTGAATCAAATATTCTATTTACTTTATCTTATGTTAATTTGATGCTATATAACTTAATATATAATGATGCTTCTGGTTCATTACTTAATCTAGTTTTCTCAAATATTTTCAATGTAAATGTAACTTTTGAAACTTATCTACTTGTTCTTTTGGATTATAAATATCATCCTGTTTTACAAATTACACTTCCATTTTCAATAAATAATAATAATTTACATTAAAATGAAACTGCTCATGACTTAATTAATTGTAATTATAATGGCAGTAGGCTCAACTGATTGGAGTTGCACATTTAAAGATTTATGTATTAATGAAACACTTAATGTATTCTACACTAAATTACACGATACAATTAATACATACTGTCATAAAAAAAACGTATATTCTCTTCAAAGTATCCCTTATGGTCTTCTAATACTCTAAGACAGTTAATCTTTTCAAAAAAAAAAATTGCTCATAAAATATATAAAGAATATCCGATTAACATAAACTATAGTCTATTCGGAATGAGATCGTACCTCGGCGGCGACCAGTTTTCGTTCGCGACGGTCAGATGCCACCACGAAAGCTCGTAAGACTAGCGCTGTGGAACAAAGCCACGCCCATGCGCAGAAATTGGCCGCCGAGGTACGATCACATTCCGAATAGACTATAGTTTTTCAACTGATAGGTAGCAATATGTTTTAATTCTTCATTATTCAAAATTAACTCTGTCGTCCCTCAGGGATCACATTTAGCTCTATTACTATTTAATTTATTTATTAATGATATGAAATTTTACCGTATTATTAAATCACTAACAAGACCTTAATCGACTTAGCACTTGGTGTATTCAAAATAACTTATTCTTAAATATAAATAAATATAAAATTATGACTTTCTCTAAAATTTGTAATCCAATCTCACATAATAATTATAATCTAAACATCAAATTAGATCATGTTTTTCTATACCAAGCACTTGGGAATTTATTTTGACCCGCCTCTTTCATTTAATAGTCACATTATCATATCAAAATTCATAAATCGCAGCGGTAAAGACTTAACCAAAACCTTAAGCGTTAAAATCACTGTACTGTTCCTTTGTTAGATAATTACTTGATTATGGATCCACAGTTTGGTCTCCACAATCAATTAGTGCTATAAAAGGATTGATTCAATTCAAACCCGTTATCTACGTACTATTCAATTTAGGCTTGGTATCGAACGTACTCCTCACTCATCATATCAACCACTATTATCATACCTAAAATTAGAAAATCTTGAACATGGACAAAAATACTCGATTCATGTTTTATTTTTAAATTAACTTAATTGTCCAGAATTACTTTCTTTATTGAATTTTAATATCCCAAATCGTAAAACTAGGCAGTTGTATACTTTTTATGTGCCACTCTAACGTTCAAAATATGCTCAAAATGCCCCTTAAAATAGATTATTGCAACTTGTAAATTATTTAAATATTGATCTGTTTTCCTGTATTTCATCAAATGATTTTAATAATTACCTAAATAATCTTTTTGCTGTATAAATGTTACATTCTATATCAATATTATTATAAGTCAAGTTTTTATTATTATATATTTTTCATTTTGTATTCTTAATATTTTTTTTTCGGTGAATTATTTCAATCATAATTTTCTAAACATCACATTTATTATACTTAAACTTGTCAATTTATCAATCAAATTACTATCTGTACTGTTGTATTATGTTAAGATAAATAATAATTTAATATCAAAATATTATGTATATCCTAAACATATGTTTATAATAATTGTAATTGGATTTGCCTGTTTAAATATACAAATAAATAAATAAGACCTAATCAATCATATTTTTAATTTAAACAATAAAAATAAATAATTATTAAAATTAACATCAGACTAAAGATTAAAAATCGCAAGAATAAAAAAATAATGATCATATTTTATTTTATTTTATTGAATTAAAAAAAATAATTTTACTCACTTAAATGATAATCAGCTTCTAAATTATCTTTATTATTGACAAAGGTATCCTTAGATGCACAGCTAAGAAGTTCTTCATGAACTTTCAATTTCCTTACATGATTAACTGATAAATCTATAAATTATATATAATAATAATATACAAATACAATAAAAAAAAAAAGTAATCGTTAAAATCAATTAAGATACTTTACCTTTAGTTAATTTATTGCATTTATCATGTATCTTATTGTTGGATTCTTTTGTTGTTGTTGATGTTTTTGATCTACAATTATCATCTTTTCCTAAAATTGATGTTAATTAATTTATATGATAGAACAATCAATAAAAAAATTCTACCTTCAAAAATTCCACTTTCGCAATGTTTGGATTTATTTTTTTTACTTATCATGTTCATTGATGTTGGTGAACATGTTGAACTAAAAATTTCCGATTGATTGGTTTGATCATTAGAGTCATCATCTGAAATTTTAAAAGTCATTAAAATAAAATAATTAAGTTTTAATGTGATACAAAAATATGATTTCTAAAAAAAACTTTAATTCAAAAAATTAACATTAAAAATCTTCAAAAAAATTAAGAATAAAAACTATATTAAAATATAAATTAATAAACTTATTATAATAATTTTAGTTAATTTTATTTAATTAAATATTTATACATATGTTACTCGCCTTCTTGATAATTAGTTTCAATACTATTTTTATCATTAAATTGTAATGAGTTCTTAGATTTGAGCCACCTTTTAATATTTTTAGTATGTTTCAAGTAATTAACTGACAGACCTATGAATTATATCATAAGTTAGTAATAGAAGGATATTATTGTCCCCCTTAATAAATTATTATTACACTCTAATAGCCCAATGCAGAGGTCTCCAACCTACGGTCCATCCTGCAGTTTTAACTGACCCGCCACAAGTTTAACTGATGTTTTGAAAATATTTTTTATTTATCAATAATATTTCCTAGTAAAAGAAAAATAATAAAACCTTAAAATAAAATAAATGGCTTTTAATTAATCATCGTCGATGTTATCATGTTTAAGGCGATTGTTAATCAAAAAAATATTGACTTTTCTTAAATCAAAAAATATCTTTTTTATTCTCAATTTCATTACCTCTCTATTCCTTTAAAAAAATTTGGCCCATGATGCCAAAGTGTATCTTAGATTTGGCCTCCATAAAAAAAGGTTGGAGACCCCCGGTCTATTATATACAACAAAATATATTTCTCCTAAACCTAGTAAACCTAGTAATAACAATAAAATTATTATCAATGATTACCTTCAGTTGACTCTCTGTATTTGTCAAAAACAATCCTATTGCTAAACCTCTTTGATGAAATTGATAATTTTGATCTCTGTAAATTACCATCTCCTAAAACCATTAGTAATTAATTCATAAAACATCATAATAATCAATCAATCAATACTATCATTAATTATTTTACTTTTATTTTCTTTAATTTTCTTATTTGCCTTTTTTGTAAATGTTGATGAGGACGTAATACTACAAGCTTTAGGTTGATCGTTTTTATGAATATTAAGACTATTATAAGAAGTAACACCTGGAATAAAAATATTTAACAAAATTAAATGAATAGTTTTAATTGAATATTAATATAGCATAAATTGTATAATTAAGTTAAAAATGGAATCAGAGAAATTTAAATTTACAAATATTTAAAACAAAATTTAAAAAAATTAATTTTTTTAATTATTTAATAATTTTAATCTTGACCAGTTGCCCTACTTACCTTGATTATAGTCTGCGTCATTAAAACTATATTTATCAGCATTACTTTTTACATCCTTTGACTTGCTTTTAATGTATTTTTCATAATCATGTGGTTTTCTTAAATTATCATCTTCTAAGAAAATTAATTTTAAAATCATACATTTATGTTTAACTTTAAATTTTTGTAAATATAAAAGGAAAATGAATACCTTTAGTTGCATTGCTTTTTTTATATTTATTTTGAATATTTAAGTTCGTTTTTGATATTGATGAATATGCTTTTACTCTTCGAACATGATCTTAGAACAAAATATACATGTTAGTATAAATATAATAGCAAAATGTACTTAAATAATACTATTAGGCATTTTTACTTTTAAGATTTTTAAATTTATTATTTTTCTTAGATACATATGTTGATATTGAAGAACTAGAAGAACACCCAGTTCCATGATCATCGATTTGGCTTGATGCATAACTATTGTTTGAAATAGGATCTAAAATATTTTATAAGAATTACATAAACAACTACTCAAATAAAAAAACCATTAATTTTAAGTTCAATGCAAGAACAAAAAATATTAACTCAAAATAGTATCAGAAAAATTCAAATTTGAAAAATTAAAGCTCATTAATTTAATTATACACATTAAATTGTAAAACTAAAAAAACGAGACACCTTGTTGGATTGTTGATAGCAACTATATCATTATCATCAAAATCCTTGGATTTACTCATTAAAATTTTTTCAAAATATTTTGTTTATCTCAAGTATTTGATAGAACTATAAATTATATGGTAAATAATTTATTATGAAAACCAGTATCAGTCAAGAGTCTTTACCTATAGTTTGTTTGTGTTTTTCATAAATGTCCTTATGTTTTGACTCGTTTGTTGAGTATGTTTTTACTTTCTGGATATTATCTTCTCCTATTTAACATTAATACATGAAGAAATAATAATTAGTATTCACTTTTTTTTTATTTTTAATTGAAAGTGATAACCATGAAAAACTAGATGTTTTAAACTTCAGTATTACTCAAGTAAAATTACCATTAGTTCTAGAAAAATAGTAATTTATTTTAAAATTATAAATTGTACAAAAATATAAATAAAATAAATGAATGTAAAAATTACTTAAGTGGCTATCAAGTATTAGTCATTATTAATTGATGAATAACCATTACTAAGACCCGAATTTATATACATTTGCATGTTTTTTCTGAACAGTCCAAAAATTAGCAAGCTTCAAATTTGATTTGTAGTCAATAGACCCAAAATATTAAGTTTTATTTTGCATTTTTTGACATGTACTACATATTTCTGTATTTTACAATCTTTTATTGCATATAAACAGTTTTTAACTACATAATATGTAATATTTTGCTAAATTTAATTTAAAATAACGTATTTACAGTTATATTTCTAGTCCATGTAATTCAATAAAGTCGTTTTCTTATCTCATATAAGACCTATCAGGACAAGTAGTAATCTGTTATTGAATAGGTTTTAGTGAATCATACATTAGTCGTGTTAGAGGTGATCTGAGTGTGCATAACTTTTATTCAATTTTTTTTATTTTATAGGGTATATTTCTTTAAAATAAAAGCATAAATGCATATTTTATAATGCATATTTCTGAGGTTTTTAAAGCATATAAATCCAGGCCCTAATCATTACCCTTAGTTTGTTTGTATTTGTTATGAATATCCTTTTTTCTTGAATCTGTAGTTAACGATGTATTCACTCTCTTGGCATGATCTACTCCTACACATTATTCTAAATTAATATTACTTATAAGAGGAAAATAAATTCACTTTATACCATCAATATCTTTATTTTTTTGGTCTTTAATTTTCTTTTTATTTATCATTTTCTTAGTTGACATTGATGAACTTGAAGAACTTCCAGTATCAAGATCATTATTTTGGTTTATTGAACTATTATTTGATGTAAAATCTAAGACAAAATATTTTAACACAATCATATAAATAATAACTTAAAGCTTGAACATAACTTTAATATACATTTAGAATTGTATCTACTTTTTAAACACTGTAAAATAATAAATATAAAATTGTTTGTTGCACATTAAAAAAAAATCATTTATCAAAAACATAACCAATCTGTGGTTATTGTCTATCAGACATTGTTTGTAAAAAATGTAGTAAAATTTATATAATACATAGAAACATATCTAAATTTCATATTTATTATTTGTATATATAAAATATTCAATGGCTAACACTTTCCATAAAAACTATCCAAGAAAAATAAACATAGAAATATTTTTTAAATTTCATACATTATATACTAGATATTTATAATCAGCTCCAACATTAAAAACTTTGGAATCAGAAACGTGAGAATTATATATTCTTAGTTTATAATAGAGACAATATAACTGTTAAAAGCACAGCATAACATCATCTTTGTAATAAAATACTGTGATTATAATTAACAGAGTTTCCAATATATGGTGGTGATATTTTAAAATAATTAAATAGTAACAAATATAATTAAATAGAATATCATGATTACTCACCTTGATCATAATCAGCACAAATATTACTATTATTAATATCTACTTCCTTTTGATTCATTTTCTTAGCTAAATCTGATACTATAAATAAAAATATTAATTAATATGAAATATAAATACAATATTATCACTTATTGCAAATATCAATAAACCTTACCCTCTATTGTATAATCTTGATCATTAATATTCAACTCAGTTGTTGATGTTGTTAAAGCATTTGTTTCAAGATAATCAATATTTTTATTAGAAGTTAAACAATCATAAGAAGTCAAATCTTAAAATAAAATTTTGAAGATAAATTAAAATTAAAGCTAACAAAACTTATTATTAATTGTTACAATTAAATACTTTTAAAAACATTAATAAATTACACATTTCTACCTTTAGTTATGTCACTCTGAAGATAGTTGTTAGTATTGATTTCCAATAACTCAGTTGTTGATATTAATGATTTACTTGTTTCAGAAGGAAAACTTTCATTTAATGTATGGTTCAGATTAGGAATTAGATCTAAATACAATGATGAACAAATTAAAAATTGAACAACACTTAAATAACTTTTATAAAGTTATTATTAATGAACAATTATATATAAATCTATTGTTTGAATAATATATTCAATGCATGGATTGAAAATAAACAATGAGTAATGTAAGGTATATACAAGATATAAAAGAAAAAGAAATAATGATACACAAAAAGAATTTTAAATCAATAGCAAAATAACAGGAAAATGAATGGATAATTCAATATGTGCCTAGTTGAAAGTCAACCATAAAACTCCATAACACCATAAAATGTCTAGTATAAATGAATAAACCTTACTCTCTGTCAATCTTTTTTGTTGGTTATTAATATTCATAGAAATTGACTCAGTTGTTGAGGTTAAATTATCAGTTTCAAGGCCAATAAAAATATCATTTGAAATTAAACAGTCATTTGTGTTCAAACCTAAAAATAAATTTTTTTAAGTTAATTTAATAAATCCCTATTTTTTTATTATTTTTTTTAATGATTTATTAACAAAAAAAAAAAACAAATATTTGCTTAGAGGTAAAAAAATGTAAGTACAATTTTTTTAACACACTCAATTTTATCACAAATCAAAATTTTAAAACATGAATAAATTACAAATTATTACCTTCAGTAATGTCACTTGGGAGATAACTATTAGTATTTGTTTCTGACAACTCAGTTGTAGGTATTAATGATTCATTTATTTTGAAAGAAAAATTCTCATTTAATAAATGGTTTTCTTTAGGAATTATATCTAAAATGCAATTTCGTATAAATTAATATTATGATTCAATACAATATTAAATTTGTTTGAGTCAACTAGTGGTGCTGAATCATATGAATTTAAGCGAAACAAAATCAAAATACACCTACTCCACTGAGGATGTAGTCTACCTTTAATAACTAATAACCTAAGTTATTTATTTAATTATTTAGTATATATGTTATATAATGTAAAAACAAAACACATATACAAATAAAACCAACTACCTTCTTTATTATATGAAGAGATCGATTCAGTTCATGTATAAATTCAGCGCCACTTAACTCAACTATATGAATTAAATTTTTAGTACCTACTTCCAATGACCTCTCATACTTCTCACTTTCAACTTAATTCAACCAATAACACATAACAGTATTTAATAATTTATTGTTAATCTAATTTAGATATATTCATAACCGTTAATGTAAGTTTTGATAATATATACTATGATTAAATTTGGAATGTCTGAACTTTACTAGAGGACCAAATAAATACTATAAAATCTTTGAAAGCCAAATTGTCTATCGTATTTACAATTTTTAGTTTTATAGAAAATATAAAAACAGTATGAGCATTGTTCTATATTATTTTTATTTTTTTTATATGATCATTCCCACAAATAAATTATATAACTCAACATGAATGCATTAGTTAAGAATAGAGGATACATTAATTGATACCGGAATTAAACTATTTTAACCTAAACTAAATTCTAAATGGCAGCTTAGTGACCTGGTCTAACCTAACCTAACCTAATTTAACCTGAAAATGATTTAACAGCAGTAAATTGTACATACTTAATTTAACTTCACCAAAAATATTCTTACCTGTTCTAGCCGTCACATCATGATGAATCATTTTCTCTTTATTAATTGATAGTGCTGTTATTGGTGGTGGTGTTGATAATATTAATGATGAATTACAATTTGTATCTGATATAAGATCTGGAATATGAGTATATCTGTCAGATTATTTCTATATAATTTTCACAAAAACCCAATTTATAAAATTAATTTACACAAATTATTAATTTAAATTTAAAGAAATTTAATCACTCAACATTTAAATATTTTTATTTGAATAATTTACTTTAAATTTATTAAAAAAAAACTTAACACTTTATAAAATATTTCAACCCACATTTTAATCAAATCAAAAATCAATATTAAAAATATAATTTTCTATTTATTTTGTACTTATTTATTTCTAAATTTTGAACTTTGTTAATTGAAATTAAAATTAAAACTTATATTATAAGAATCTTACTTGTAATAGTTATATCTTCACAATCATTAACTTTCCTTATATTATTTACCAGAGTAGTTGTAGAAGTTGATGAATTACTTTCAACTTTTGAAAAATTACTTTTTTCTAAAGCCTGATTATCATTAATCACATCACCTAAAAATTATAGAAAAAAAATTAAATAAACATATTTCTTAGTTGTATTGTTTTTTTTTTTTTTTTATAGATTTTTAGTTAAATTTGTAAAAATAATAATGAAAGATGTAGTAAAAAAATATGTGATTAAAGTAGAATTAATTAAATTATATTTATTTAAATTAAATTTAAATTAGATTTAATAGAGTATCACTTACTTGACTGTTTTTTAATAAAGCTATCTTCGGAATTAAAAATTGCTGTTACTTCCATCATATTTTCAACTTTGACGTCGCCAACTTCTATAATAAGCATACAGAATATTTTAAGCAAAAAAATTAGTTAAAAAAACAAAACCAAAAATACGCATTTATATTTTGTACATGTCCAAAATTAATTAAGAATGTTGTAATAACAAATTTACATAATGGGGACTTTCAAATTGTAATATTTTCCATGCTTTTAACTCCTTTTAAAATAAAAAAAAATATAAATAAACCAATTTAACACATGCTAGTGATCATCCTGCCATTTTTAAATTTAGTTCAAAAGTGATCTTCTGTATTAATAATTCAAGCCGAATCAATTTCAATATCTTTTTTTTTATGAAAATAATAGTTTGTTTTTTTTTTAAATTTCAGGATTATTTTTATTTAACATAATTTTGGATGGAATATTGAATCTAATGAATGATGTATATTACATACTTTGTATATTTAACAATTACATTATTAGAGTTTATTTATTTAATGAATTATTTTATAATAACTAGTTGGGTTTTTTTTTTTTTTTTTTATTAGCAAATACTGTCATGACAATTAGAAGCATTTAAAATTTTTCTAGTTTTAAAATGTTTAACATCATTACTAATGATTCATTAGTAATGTCAGTAATGATTCATTACATATTAAATTCATAAGGCCAGCAGAGAATACAACTTTTTTCACTTAGTCTATTTTTCTGACATTTCAACTCTGTAATAAAATAATAGATTTTACTGTAAATCTGCAAGGATAAAGTTTAACCTAAATCGAGTCTGAACAGAAGTGAACTCTTAAAAATCTAATTATTTTAGTATAAGTTTGATTATTTAACAATTATAATATAAAATAATTATTGGTTTAAATTAATTTAAAAATATCAATATGTTATCATAATAATGTTACCATCAACAGTATAACTCAGATTACTGTCTAAATTATCAGCGGTGCTTGTCACAGATTTTGTAGATAAAAGAATAGTTATTTTATGAGATTGCTGACTATCCTTCTTCAGTTTAGATATGTCATTTTCTTCACAGCCTAAAAATTATAAATACACATAAAGAAATAAATGTGTAAAGCTGATACTAAAAATTAAAATCACTATTTTTGTATCATGCAATTTAATAATTTAATGTAGAAAAATTAGTTTCCTATACCTACATAAAATGTTGACACTAATAGCAGATTTAATATTGAAATAATAGTCAGAAAAATATAAAAAATATTATACAATATACAAAATTTATGTGGGAATTTTAATAATAAATAAACATCCGCTTACAAAATCTTTTAGGTGTGAATAAAATGGACCCCAAATAAAATATTAGTGGATAGTCTCCTAACACATGTCGACTAAATTACCATTAAATTTGCCACGTTGAATATTTAGATTTAAAATATGATATTTTATAAGCATTAAATATACGAAGTAATATATTTAACAGAAGATTCATTATTACAAAAAACACAAAAACATATTTGAAAATAATAATCCTTTAACATAATTTTCAGTCATTATAAAATATTTTTGAGAAAAAAATTATTTTTTTAACTATAATTTGTTATTGTTTTTTTTTTCTTTGAAAAACAATTAACATTTTTAATATTATATTCCAAAGAAAAATATTATTCCAAAAGTATTAGATTTATAAAAATCAATTTTATGATAAGTAGTTTATTAGTTATAACTTATATTTAAAATTTAGAAGAGCGGAGTGTAATGGACCAATATTTTGTAGAATGCCCTTCGTACTACTCTACTAACCACATACATGCTTTAAATAATTCAAACAAATGAATACTGGTTCAACATTTTACATGTATATATAATAATATATAAGTAAACCTTAAAATATTCTAATTTAGAAAAAGAAATAAAAATACAAGTTATAACAAAAAAATGAAAAATCATAACAATAAAAAAAAGTAAAAATATTTTATTTTATAAAACATTTATAATGTTTGAAGTAATTATACTCCATTCTTAAGAATACTAAGCCGCTGCCGCTGGCAAATTACAGATACAATATAATTGGTCTCCAATAATTGTCAACCGCTGCTTTTACTCGTCGCGGTCGACAGCCAACGTCAAATATATATAACCGATTGTAAAAATATAGTATTTATATTATAGTTCATCGTATTATAGGTTAGCGCGAAATATATTAATATTTTTACAATTATTAATAAGTATATTTAATTCATACATTTTAATACTTATTATTAACGTAAATTAATGGTGACGAAGTTTTGTGAAAAAATGTAATAGTAATATAATTCACTAGCTATATGTCTCATTGCATGTCGGCGGAGCCATGAGCGACAGACATCAACGCTCACTGTGATAATAGATATACGCGACGCGACGAGTTTACGCCAGTTGAATGGGCACTCTCTCTTAAACTGAATGAAAAATATGAAAATAACTACCATAGAACGATCATTGCCGTCTTATAACGATAAAAATAGGCCTATTAACTTTGTTCCTACATGCCAACTTGAAAGTTTTAAACCTATCATAATTTTGAAAACAAATGTTGTTAAATAAATTTTGGATCCTTTTAACTTTAACACAATATTATTAAAAAGAAAAAATCTCACTTAAAATTTAAAAAAAAAAATTTCAATAGGAAAAAATATAGATATTAAATTTGTTAATGAATAAACAAATAAAAATATTATTTTCCAAAATGTGTTAACTTTAAAAATAATTATAAATACTGTCAAATAGATTATGTAGTTGTATTATTTAGTTATTCATTTTTGATTAAAGTATATCCTTTTATTATTTTAACTAATAAATTTAAAAAATATATTATATAATATGTTATAACTTATAAGTTATAAGTAGGGTACGGATGTTGTTGCATTTACAACTTTTTTTCTACTTTTTCAATTAATTGCTTAGATTAAAATGCGTGTTATGTAAGTAAAAAATAAAATCTAAAAGTTTTAAGTGCAATTTTCCGCAAGTTTTTGGATTTTTATTGCAATTTTATAGAATTTACACATTTATAAAACAATTTTTGTAAGTTTTTCCAGAGTTGGCAAAAACCCGAGCTTTATTGAAAAAACCCAACCCGGTTTGGTTTTTTCAAAAAAAACCCCAAAAAACCATAAAACCCAGTGGGTTTTATTGTAAAGGTGATAATGGGTGGTTTTATCGGGTTTTTCCGTATTAGTATTGCTGTACGTATTAGCTGCTCTGTTTTTTGATTTTTCTCAATTTTTAATAAATTGTTAATTGTTATTGACGTTGTTAAGTTCAGTATTTGTTATTTTATTAATTGTTAATTTTTGTTTTTATTATTATTTATTAAGTAAGTTTTTACAGGAAAGTTACCTAATACTATTAATAATTTTTTTAAATTTTATACCTTAATAAAAAATAAAAATTGTTAACATTTCTATAGACCATTGGTGTGTAATTTTTTTCATTTTTAATTTTTAGTTATACTTACCTAATTAAAAAAAATAAATTATTACATTTTTTTTAAATCAATTTAATATTCAAGTTGGAAAAAAAAATACCTTAAAGTAAATTTTTCTGAAAATTAACACAAAGTTAAAAAAAAAAAAAATAAGAGTGAATTTTTATTTATCTAAATAAGCAGCCAGAGTTTTTTCAAAATACTGAGCGGGCTTAACCCAAAAAAACAACCCAGGTTTTTTCAAAAATCAAGTGGGTTTAACCCAGAAAAGCAGCCCGGGTTTTTTTGGGCTGGACTTTTTCGTGCCAACCCTGAGTTTTTCACATGATTATACTTTTTTAATACTTTTTAAACGGTTTCGTAAATATTGTAAGAGGCTAAGGTTATGTTAGGTTAACCTAAAGATTTGGCTGTATGCGATTTAGTTTATTTTAAGTACGCTCCGCTAATATCAACAGACGTAGAACAAAGTTTTTCAAGGTATAAAAACTCACTGGCTCCAAACCAAAAGGCGTTGGATTTTGAAAATTTGAATAAATTACATACGGTTCTATTTTTTAGTGCAAATTTTGGTATATTTTAGTGCAATACTGCAATCAATTTTACTAGTTTTTTAGTACTATAACATCCGTAACCCTAATTATAATAAGATATAAAAGCAATAACGCCAACAAAATAGTATGGGTAAGAGAAACTTTAGGAGAGGAAAGGGATTTAATTTCCTATCGATTCAAAATTAGGTTTTTTTTATTATTTAAATCAAATAAAAAATAACTAATTTTCATTTCCATATTCTAAAGTTAATATTAAATCTGGTTATGATTCTAACTAAATATTCACACTTACCTCGGATATCACCATCATGATTATCATCAAGATTATTACAAGGTTCATTAAATGTTTCTTGTTTTACAGAAGCATTTAAGTTGTGTCCTAATAATCAAAACAAATTAATTATATCTATAAAAATATAAATATTTTAATATCACTGATTATTCATATTTACTTTCTTACTTTAATACTAGTTAATATAAGTTGATAATAATCAAATAAAAAACATAAATATCTCCTAATAATATAGAAAATTAAGAATCTTGAATATTTGTTCTAGAAACAGAATTAAACAAACAGATTTCAAAAGAGTTAAGGTTGAATTTATGTAATTTAAAAATATAAAAATACCGTTGTCAGTACTGAAACGTAACATATTCATAATATACTAACATTTTAATAATAAATCAGGATAAAAACTATGTTTTACAAAGAGGAACTCATACTTTTTTTACTTTGTTCAAATAATAAAAATATAATACCTAAGTTAAGATGTGTTTTATTAGTTAATAATTTTAAAATAATTTATTTTTTAAACTTAAATGTATTTACTTCCAATTTAATGAATTATCTTTTCACTGTGAACATTAGACATAATTTATATGAAATTTTTGAAATATATTAATTTCTAACTATCAATTATTAAAATAATCTACACACCAGATACACTACTTAGCTTTAGTGATTTAAAAAGTATCCAATTAAAAATATATAGATCATTCAGAAAACTTACTGATAAAAAATTATTATTTAATTATATCATGGAAATGTGTGAATGTGAAGAAAAGAATCTCTAAGTTTACTGACAAGTATCAAATAATTATTAATATCACTTTTTTATTTATTTTTTTTTTTTTTTTTACAAAAGTTTGATGAGATTAATTACAATTTAAGATACTTTATCAAGATTCTGTTCCTAATTTATCAGTCATTAATATTAATCACAGAATTGAATTAATCAATTGAGTATAATTAAAGCTAATATTTATTTATTAATTCATTTATATTTAATTATTGAAAATAAAATTATTTTTTTAGTAAGAATTAGAAAAATAATTATTTCAGAGTTATAGCATAAAAACTAAATTTCTAATTGATATTATAATTAATCTTAAATAATTTGAGCACAGATTCCCATAAATAATATTATAGTAATGCTAATTACCATTTACAGTATTTCTTTGATCAAATGTCACACTCTTCTCGATGCCTGTCGCATAATCTTTGATTTGAATTGTTGTGGCACGATGTGGATCTTTATTCATTGATTTAAAAAATGAATTAATAATACAACCTAAAAATAAAAATAATATTCAATTCAACAATATTCAAAAAAAGTATGTTATTAAATAATTGAATGAGTAGAGTTTCAGACTAATAAAAACTAAGGCAATGAATAAGTTAAATGATAATAAATATTTAGATTATGTTTTGAAAAATAAAAATGTTCATTTTTTGGGATGAATTTATTAGAAAGTTAACTTAACATAAAAACTAAGAAAATACTTCAAAAAAAATTAAAATAATTTTGATTGTAATTAAACTAAAACAACAAAACTAATGGTTCAAATGGACGTAAGGGCAACCTAACGGTAGATTGTTCATATACACGCTTTCGCTGTTTGTATATGTGTATGTAAATATTCGGACAACAATACAAATCGTTCAAAGCGCAGCAGTACTCGACGCGATAGTCCGTTTTTATAACTTTTAACTATTTAAAAGATATACTTATAACAGATCACAAACACATTATTATTATTGTATTTATCTATTATCATTAGTTATAAATATTGATTATACATTTATAAATTATATAATTTATTATAATAAAGATAACTTGTATATTTAAATGTATAGAATTAAAACGAAGTAACATATTTTAGAAAGAACTAAGCCTCCTTAGTCCTCTCCCACAATTATTTACGCCCATGACGCTTCAGAAATTTATTTTAAAAGATAAAATGGTATGTCCACAAAACGTGGGACCTCTGTAATTAAATTTATAATTTTTAAAATATTCAGTCATTTTTTTATCATACTTTAAAAAAAATTATATATTGAAATTGAAAAAATAATCAACTAAATTGCATGGATATTAGTTGGCATATAATTTATTAGTTGAGTATTCATCGATTTTTTAATGCTATTCACTTAATTTTAACTCTAAAGTGATGTCAATGGACAAAATAGATTTAATAGATCAAAGAGCGCAATAAATTATATCAATAGGTACTATGAACGCTGGAGAATTTTCAAAATCTCAACTTTGTGTTAAAAATATTAAAAATAAAATTTTGAAATATAAATAATATTAATCTTAGCTAAAGCTCAACAAATAATGTAATAAAGATAAAAAATCCTTGTCCCACTAGAAAAGAAACATGTAATTTGTGTTTTATTAACGTAACTATTAATTTACAAAATCAAAAGCTTTATGCTTCAACTTGGTCAATTTCAAAAAATTAGAGTCAAGTTCAAAAATACAAGTATCTTAAAATTTAAAAATCTAAATTAAGTAAAAAAGATTTTTATAGTATTCCATTAAATAAAAATGTTTTTATTTAAAACTGTAAAAAAACTATATTTAAATAATTTCCGCAAAAATACTAACAGGACTCGTGAACATTTTTTGGACTCAATGTATACTTATAAAAATTATATCATTACTTATTACTTATAAGTACAATTAATAACTAAATTTTATTAATTTATCATATTCAAATTTTATAAGCATCAAAAATAAATTTCCCATATAAATGCATAGTAATCTTTAAATCTAATAATAATAATGTCTAACACTATAATTATTGTGCATTAATAATAATTTAAGTATCATAACAAGTTAATAGAAAATTCAGAGCCTATAATCTGATATTTATATTGGTATATAATATATACTATATTTCTACAGATTTTAAATTAAGTGTTGTTCATTTTTAAAGATACTTAACACCAGGCGGATAAACCTAATGAAATAATTAAGTCTAAAAAAACCAATAATTTATTTGTATCACTTTTCAGAAAATTTCAATGTTTTAATAACACGACTAATATATTCTAATATTTTAAATCAAATGAAGTTTAATGTTTATCAAATCATAATTAATATAATTCATATAATATTTATACTAAATAGTATACAACTATACAAGGTATACATAGAACCAATTTATAAAAGTTCAAAAAATACTTTTAATATGAAAAATTACTTACATGGTTTTGTAGTTGAAAAATTTATAGAGTTGATACTATTTTGCAATTCCGTTCTAATATGTTGCTTAAAATCACCAATTGTAACTTCTTCAGGTTGATCATTATCTACTATATATTAATAAATAAAATGTCAATTGTAGCACTACCATTTAAATTTATTTTAAGCTGTAATCTTCATTTGTTATAGTTAAGTTATAGATTAAAAAGTGTACCAAATCAAACTTTATGTTAACAATATTTACAGTTATGATATAAACATTTTTGAACTCTGGGCATTTTATTAATACAACATGTAACTTTTAAAATTAAAACATGTATATTTATTTTTTAAGAATCTTAAAACTGTTTTATTAACAGACTACAATAATAGTCTGAGAGCAACAATATTTCATGATGCTTTGAAATTAATGAATTAAGAATTTGAGTACATTAAAACTAATATGGAAAAAAATACATCTAAACTCTACTATGCATGATAAATTGATAATTAATATGATTACATACACTAACATATTATATACATGGACTTTCATAAAAGAATCAATTTTTCAGTAGTTAATCAACAATTAAATCAAAGATGATATCAGCAAATACAACTAAAGAAAACATTTATGTTATAAATATTACCAGAATATTAAAATACTTTAAGTGTAATTTAAAAAAAAAAAATAATTTACTTAAACAAAATTTAAAAATTTAAAGAATGTTGTCTTGTAAGAAAATTTTCCAACAACAAATATTAACTACCTCAATTAATTTCTATGATTTTTAAAAAGCTTATATATATTGTTATACTTATAAGTATTACTTTAAAAGTATTTATCTAGTGTTACATGTAATAATTTTATGACATAACATTTTTTTTTCTTTTTTGAAAAAAAATTTTTAAATGGTTAATTTTTATTTGTACATCCTATAAAATTTGTTTTCTTTTTTAAAACAAAATAATAAGTTTCTAAAAAAAGCTATAACTATGAATATTAAAATATATTAAGAATTACTTTTAAAATATTATACAGCTTAATAATATTTAAAAACTTTTTACTATATCTATGTAGTATAAATGTTTAAATTATTATAGTTTGGTATTGGAAATAATTAATGTGTTATATTAACATATTACTATAGACATAAAATAATTAACACTGGGATTTTAGAATGTTGAGATGGTAAAAAAATTTACTTTATTTTTAAATAAAAACAGGTTATTCTGGAAATATATTGTTAAATCACATCCTAAGTTAAATAATAGTATAGAAATATTAAATCATAATTTAATCCTTTTTATAACATAAAAATAATTTTTTTTTATTTAAAACATTACAGTAAAATTTACAAGGAAGGCAAAAAGGATTAACTCTTAACTATTTAAAGCTCACTTACTTGAAATATTACAATCTGTATCACCATTTGAATTGGTTAAATTTTGTTGATCATCAAATTGTCCTTGAGAATCAGATGTTGCAACCTCTTCAAAATAATTGGTTTCAACTAAATATATAAAATAATTTAAATTAAATATCAAATACAGTAAAATATCCTCTAAAGATAATTGTTTATAAATTATATTACCAAATGAATTTTTTTCAGTAGTATTTAAATTTGTTCCATGCTGTGACGCTTCATTTAAACTTAAATTTGTATTCTCCTTTTCATTTGAGGAATTATTCAAATCATTAACTATTAGATAAAAAGAAAAAATTTTAAAATTATTGATTATGTAGAACCAAATGAAATCTTTAAACAAGAAAATAAAAAATGTTATTAAATTAAGAAACAAGCTAATAAAAAAAATAAATACTATTGGTTAATAAAATAAGAGTATTTAATTAAATATGTTTAAGAGATTTATGATTAATATACAACACACTTACTTGACTTATCACTAACTGAATCAGGATCAAAATCAATGAAATCTTGTTGATTATTCAACATTAATTGATCTTCGGTTTTAGAAATTGTTATTTCTTCATGAAAATCATCATTTTGTACTAAAGATAAATGATAATTTTGAATTAATATAACATTTACTATAATATTTAAACTTTTAATACTACCAAAATTTATTTCAGGCTGTAACTCTTCTGTTATCAAATCTGTTCTAACTTGTATTGGATTACTTTCCTTTAAATTTATCTTGTTTTTTCCATCAACTAAAATGCAAATTAATAAATTTAAAACAATATAATATAAAAAATAAATTATTCAAAATCGAGTAAAAACAGGATAATAATTAGAAATACATTTAAGAATAAATTGTCTAAATATTATTAATGAAAAGATTAAAAATATTTTTATTAATTTTATTATACAATTATATTTCTCAATAAACAAAATCTCGTTTCACTCACTTATTAACTCATTTGCGATTGAAACATTCAATGAGTTGCTAAAATCCTGTATATCATTAGTCTGTATTTCATTTTCTTTATTTGTAGTTGTAACATTTTCATACGTCACTAAATACAAATAGAATTTGCAATGTAAATATTTCAAATATTTTAAAATAGGGAGTTTTACAGAATAATACTCTTTATATATATATATATAAAAGATGTATATTTTTTAATTTTTTAAAACACTACTCTACCATTTGAAAAGATATTTTCATTGTCACTTGATTGTGCTTCAACCGCTATTTTATCAAAATATTTACTATTTAATTGATTAGTTTCTTTAAATGTAGAATATTCATAATCTTTAACACCTGAAATCAATGAACTACAATGAAAACCATTTTAATTAAATAAATTTTTAATTTAATCAAAATTCAGAAACTATTTATCAGGAAGAACCCAAGTGTCGATGTAAAAATAAAAAATAATTTCAAAAATGAAATTTTCTGTATAAACTTAAGATTAGAGTTAAAAAAATAAAATTGTTGAACAATGAACTAAATGATATTTCAAAAAAAAAACAAGAGTATACATCAGGAATTATTTAAATGTTTTGTAGTAAAAAAATCAGTAAAAAATGATTTAAGAAAGTCAAAACTAATGTCAATCTATTAATTCAAAAGAAATAATAGTATTTAATTTGAAAGAAACTATTTAATAAAATATCATTAATAACTATAACCAAATTTTGAATACTAATCTTAGCAGTAAATTATCCTACCTTCAATCTTATCTTCATAATCATTAGCTGTCTTTTCAAAAGTTGACTTGCATAGTGAAACATTATTGTCATTTACTACAGTATCTTCGACTGTAAAATTATTTTTATCCTTTGATTTTTTTGTTGTATTATGCTCATATTCTATTTGTACTTTTGATTTTATAACATTATCATCACCTAAACACATTAATAATATTAAAGTAATTCAAGTTAACATTATTTTAAGATCATAATTTTAATTTAATCTATACCTCTACTAGTCTCTGCCACATCATCGTCAATTTTCTCATTATTGTTTGATACTGATTCTGATAATGACAATCCAACTTTTTCTAAAAAATATTATTTAATTGTAAAACATATTTACTATAGAAGTATATTACCTCTAAAAGAATAATTATATGACCAATTAATTATTTAAAATATATATTTAAGGACATTTTTCAAAGTGTGATATGCAGTTTGTTAAAAATTAAATAAGTTCACAATAATTGGATTAAATGACCTATTCCAAGTCTCATATAAAAGAATCCTTAGGCCAACAAACAAGTTTAATACAAAAGCCAAAAATTCAATTTACTGTATTAATCTTAAGATCTGTGAAAAAATTGTTTTCTCTTTTTCTCTCTCTGATCCAAACACAACATATACAAAACATAAATTATAATTATAAAAATAAACAACATAATTACATAAATATTTTAAATGATTTTGAAAATTTTAACTAAACTACTAACCATGTCTGTATATATAATTTATAATATTTAGAAGAAATAAATATTTTTTATTAACATCAGTGTTTATATTTTCATGATTATTAATTAAAATCATAGTTGTTTTAATTGATGAACTATAAGTTTCAATTTGAATTATTTTCACTAAATCAAAATTTCTATTATCAGATGCAAGATTTGAAAATAAGTTATAAGAAAACTTTTTTATTTTGTATTGAATATAAATTGTCAACAGCTGCATTTAAAATATGATACACATAAAAATTCAACTTAGCAATACATGATTAACTAACATTTTTCAACAAAATTTAAGAATGAAATCAGAACATTTATAATCAATAATATCAAAATATTGTAAGAATATAATTAAAAATTAACTTACCCAAATGAGAATCATTAATATTGTTGTCCAAAAGTTCTGTAATCGGTTTTTTTTTTAAAAATTTTATTTTTTTTATAGTATCATAATCTGAAACAAATGATAAAAACAAAATTATTTTATCAATTGATTTTTATACATGGAAAATAACTGAAATCGATATATTAACTTTACCATCAATAATTTTTTCTTCAAAGTCATCTGTCTTCCTTTTATTGTTTGTCGTGGTTGTTATTTCTGATAAACTTACTATTTCAGAAGTATTACATTCATTCAAGATAGATTTATTATTAGATGTAAAATCTGAAACAGATATTTTAGCCTTTAAGTAAACTAATTTTTACTGTTTATTATACTGAATAGTGGTCAAAGGTCATCTTTATTAAAAAACTATACTGCATTTGTGAGAGATAACCAATATGCTAAATATCATAAATATAAAAAATTAAATGTCAGATGAGTATTGTACATGCTTAATTAAGGTAAATACATTTTAATAAAAAACAAGATTATAATAATCATTTTAATTCAGATAAAATAAATTATTTGTTTTTTAATATAGCAATAACAATAACTTATTAAGTTAAAAAAACGCCGTTACAATCTTATTTTACCTTAGATTTTAACCCCTTGGTAAATATAACATTTAAATGATATAAATATATTAAAAATTTTTCAAAATTTCATAGAATATATAATTTATCTATTCACCATTTATTTATATACGTAGTTAAAGCCGACTACTAAATGGTATACAATATTAAAAACATAATGAATTTCTAAAATTGCTTTCACATCCTAATTATCGCGACTACTTTAATATAAAAATTATTATTTTATAAAAATTAGATCTTTTATTCATGGCAGAACATAGTTTATAGTCGGGAGAATGAAAATTGGCCGCTAACAAATATGATAGCAACGATTTTTTCCCAAAAACAGGGGTCCTCAATCTGAAAAAGATCAGTACACAACATTTGTACCATGTAAATACGCGCGCTTTTTTCATTATTTTTAGAAGCCATTAAAGAAATTTACCACCGGGAGCGCTCGCATCAGCGCCACTTTTCATTCTCCGACTATAGTCAATAATAAACCCTTCAATCCCCTCCCCCAAAAAAAATTCACAGGCACAGCTGAGATAAAATAACTTAAATATTGTATTATTTAATATTACCTAACTTGCTCCAGTAAAAATAATTTTGTGGCTTATGAATAACGCTTAGTCGCACAAAAGGGGAAGGATCAATAAAAAAATTATACGAAGTCTAATGTTCTATAAAATAAATTTTGGTTTAACTTGTAACAAATTTTATGAAAAATTAAAAATAATACAGCTATAGGAAATAAATCACTTAAGCGATAAGTATCAATAGATAAAAAGTAATACGTATTAGTAATAACAGTTAATGTAAAAAAAAAAATTGCATTAGCAAATAAATATTTAAATAAATAAAAATAATATTCTTATTTCCATACAAGAAAAAAAAAGGTTATTCAATATTATGATGTCCTAGTTTGGTAATTCCAAAATCTGATAATCCTATACAGGTCAATATTAAAGTATAATCTTTAAGATTTCAAGACTGTAATTTATTAATAACATTTCTAATAATTTGCACATAACATATTTTAAAAACTTTAATGATTACGTCGATAACACTACTTAGATGAACATATATATGTACATAAAATATTTCAAGAGTAATAATATAATTAATGAATACAAACATTTATTACATTTTACGATACACAAAAATATATTTTTTAAACTTACTATCGTCAATTAACATTTGTTGATTATTAGGTTGATCATCACAAATCTCATTACAGACAGATTCGATCACGCTTTTCTCAGAGACGTTGTTGAAATCTGAGGCATCATAACTTACGACAGCTGGCACCACAGGTTTACCAAAAACTATATAAACACAAATAATAAAATGACGATTAATTGTTAAAAAATAATTAATATTAACAATTTACAATCAATTAATATTACATTAATTCAATATTAGTATCCAGTATTATAGATTATTACTGATAAAGAGTTATTATTTTATTAAAGGCTAATGTTATAATAAGAAACAAAAATGTTTCGTTTAAAAATGAAAGTAAGTTTTTAATATCAATAACAATAGCTAAAATAGCTTTCATTAAAAATTATATTTATCAGCTATCATGAATATATTAACATCGTATAAAAATATTAACAGTTTCAAATCTTAAAGGAGATTATAAATCTCCTTAACATATTTACAATCATCATTCAAATTTAAATGATTAATTCAAAATAATAATTATAACTATGTGTAACATAATCATATAATATTTAAATGTCAGAGATTTGCGACATTTACGTATTGTATTTCAAATACATGCTCACAAAAAAAAAAAAATTAAACTTTATAAAAAATATATAACATTGTACTAAAAACATTTATTTCTGCGATATAAACACTTCTATTAGATAAGACTACCTCTAACGTATTAAGTATTTTTAATAATTTTAAAAGAATCATTTATTAGAACATTATTTAGGTTGGCCAAACATTTTATTCACATATTTTAAGTAATTCAAATCCATTTAATCAAATTATTTTTTTATTTATATTTACTATATAATATTATAGTATATAAAAAAAAATATTTTAATACAATAAATTATTACAATAATGATTAGCAATTATAAGTGCAGTTTTTCATTTCCCTTCATAAATTAAAAATAGCCCACAACTTATTGTAAAAAATTATACCAGAAAGTTATTCTAATTTAGTTTAGTATCAAGTTATAATAATATTATTAATGTAAGAATAAAATGTCTTCAGAATACAATAATAAAAAAAAAAAATTTAAATACCAAGTACCTATATATGACTGAGCTATAATCTATGTATATTTGTATATTACATATACACCATTCATGTTTAGATGGTACCACAGCAGACTTGTGCGAAATTTAACTTAACGGCAGACATATTATATAGTTGATTTAAGTGAAGAAAACATGTTAACCATCACCTAATAAACACAGGTTGCCACAAAGATCCTTTCTTAATTAAAATGTAATTTAATAGAATTGTTTTACATTTTATTTTTGAACATCATTGTATCCATTACCAGATATATTAAATTGTTTAAATCTTGTATGAAATTAATTAATAAATTATACCTCTAGTTGACGATGATTTAAAGGAATATGAAAATATGTTGTAAAAATGTTAAAAAGTTTTTAAGATAACTTTATAAATTAATTTATATCTCTTCTTCCAATCTCTGTATACAGCATTTTCAAATAATCATTCCTAAATCATAGCCTTTTATACGCTATTCCAAATAAGTCTGGAAAAATGTACGACGACAACGCGTCCTGGTTTCGCGCAGGTATGTCACGTGATCTGCCGGTGGCGAGCGCTGTTGTCGATAATTGTATTGTATCCGGCCGCCGACCGATCATGACGACTGCCGATAATTGAGCCAATGACAGGAGACCTGCCTGCGGGATTTTTTCCAGACTTATTTGGAATAGAGTATACTATCTATGATTTCTGAAGTTCTTGATATATTAAATACAGAAGAAAACTACATTTTCATGATTTAATTTTGTTATCCAAAAACATACAAAAAAAAAAAATAATGATCTATGTATAAAATAAATTCTAGTATATTATGTTTAAACTCAAAATCAATCTGTGGATAGTAGAGCAGGAAATAGCTGTAGGAACCATTAAAATATAAAACTATGTGTTTGCTTATGAAAACAAATGTATCCTTAAAAACCAGAATTATATCACTGCGACCAGAGATATATTCATATAATGATATACAATAAGATTACAATTTAAAACACAACGAAAAGAATAAATATAAAAAATTAACAATATCTTAACTTATTAATATACGAATATGTAAATTAAAAATTTTAACTAATTATACAAATTGTACATCATCCACTTTATCCACATAATCTCTGCATTTAATTTTGAACCCATTAGTTACAGTAATTCTCTATTTAGTTTGGTTTTATTTTTATTTATCATAAAATCGTGGTTGTTCTAAAACAAACACCTTTACAAATAATACACATATCTTAAAACATTAGAAATTTACTATAAATCTTAATGATTTGTTGTAGTGTTAAATAGTCTAAATTATTAGACATAAAAATACTAAAAAATGTCCATTATAGGAGTATAAACCATTGTAAAAAGTTTATGATTATTTAAAATACCAATCAACAAAATGAATATAATGCAACTAGGAAATATAATTTATTGGTGATAAAGTTATGAGAAGGAATGATAACCATCTAATTCTATTCAGGATAAAAACCGGACAATGACCAATCTGTCATATAGATCAAAGGCTTTTAGGCAACGTCACATTCTCATTTCTCAATCGAGTACAATCTATATACCTGCTGTGTAGTGAAATAATAGCTCTGCGCACAAGTTGACCATACAAATGTATTTCTTATCCTGAATACCATATAAATATAACTGATTACCTACAATATGAGTATTTGGGATAAAAAAAAATTGACCAAATTCCGCTATACCCATTAAATTATATAATTATTATGTTCAAAAATATATCATATTAAGCTATTAGGTCGAGTAATTACATGTCTATATAAATATTTCATATGTTATAATTTCATTGAATATGTGAGAAGGATTTAAAATGACATATTTGTACTTCATAAGATTTTATAATTACTACCAATCTGTATTTTATTAAGCAATATATAATTTAATGATATTTATTGTACTTAAATTAATTATAAAAAAATTTTGCCATGACATGACCTAATCTCAAATAATAATGCGATTAAAACAATGAGATAATAGAAGCATATTTTTTTTAATTTTTCTGTAGTGTTTGATTTTTTCATATTGTTTTCCACTTGAATCTAGAATAAAATTAAGAGATCACCTCACACCTGTTATTTAAGGAGTATAACGATACAGACAAATTAAATATTTAATACAATTTTGAAAAGAATTAAAAAAATTAATATTAAATATATTTAAATATCAATCCAAAAAATTTAAAAATGACCCAATGGCAGTACCATTGTTATACCATTGGTTATTACATACATAGTAATGACATTTTATAATTAAGAACAATCAAATAGTTTTGTGCAGGACAAATTTACAAAAACATTATTTATATTCTATAGATATAAAAAATTTTCACCACATAGAAGAAAACTTTATCTATCATAACATTTTTGTTTCCTTGAATATATCCAAAAAAAAAAAAAAAATCTCTACAAATAAATAACTTAAATTGTTTTTAAGTTACCCAAATAATAACAACAATAGACGTATCTTTCTTCAATGTATATTATGGTAAAAATTTAATAAGGCTACAATAAATACTATCGCAAAAATTTGTCCCAAAAAAATCTGTTTTCAATGATAGGTGTGGTGACCTCTTAATCACAGTAATGAAATATAGCGATATTTACAATTATTTTAACAGATAGCATTTATAAACATCACATTATTATATAAATATTGTTTTACAGTCAATACATATATATATAATCCTAATATGTTTAAATACATTTATCCGGAGAAACATTTATGAATAAAAATCAATTGTTCAAGCGACATTTTAACATTATGAGTAATTTAGAGAATCATTGAATTAGATTATTTAAAATTTTTAAATTTATAAATGTAAAACATATAAAAGTACACACTTACAAGGCCTGAAACTGAACATAAAAATTAAGCGATTCTACGTCATTATTATGTGTTAATAACAGATATTATTTTTATGTAACATTTCTAATAATTTGTAGGTTAATATATTAAATTTAAAGCAAACATATAGATTTTGATAAAGAAATATCAACTTTATACACAAGGGTAATAATCCTAATTAATACCTTCATGATTTCGGACAGAATTGTTAAGTTTTGACTTGGTTAGCATGTTGTCCAAAACATTGATTACCATTTTTTCTTTAGTTGAAAAAGTATCCAAGAGCTGTGTAAGATCATTATCTAAAAAATAAGGAAAATAACATATTATTTTAAAATTCTGTATTAATAAAATAATCTAAAAATGCTATATAGTGTAAAATTACTTAATAAAATAAAAAAAGTAAAAGACAGACAATACTAGCTACCTCTTTTAAAATTAATTAACGGGTGAACAGATACCAATAATTGATATTTGTATCCATACTTTTAGTATATTTTGTTTTTGTTTTTTTTACAAATAGTAAAATTAATTAATTACATTTTATGATATATCTTAGTAAAGTTATCACAATATTAATTATTATTACAATTTAAGAAACTATATAGGTTGAATAAAATGAATCTTATACTATAAGTTGTGAATATTGAAGGAAAACTAAGGACGCTAATCAGAGCAAAATTATGTGAATTAAGTTTATTACATCATAAAATATTCTTACTTTTATAATCTAAATTATTAACTAATGAATAATTAAAAATGTTATCTAAAAAATAATTGTTCAAACATTAAAAAACTTGGTAAAAATTTAGACATACCGTTAAAAAGTATAGAATTTTAATTTTAATAATAATAAAAACAATAAACATCCTAAACTGTACATATTATAAAACGACGTTATCACTGTTCAAAATGAATTCTAACTGACTTCTTAATTTTTAACACTTTTTTTACAGTTTAAGCACCATTTATCTATTATTCAGGCAAGTAATCATGAATTTAATATAATAAACTGGTTACCATAACCATAGGCAGAAATAGGGAGGTTCAAAACAAAAATTTTAAAATGTCATTACAATATATTAAAGTTTATCTTTTAAAGTTCATTCTCATCACGAAATAAATGGTAATTACAAGTCAGATTAGATTATACAAAAGGTATTTAGATAAATATACTAAAATCTGCACAACCTAACAAAACTTTATGCACCAATGATATTCATTTTAAATCTGTTTTCGCCAATACTTAATTCAAATCCTAGCAAGTTAGTTCATCATTACTACTTAACATTAAAGCACTGTTTAATCGTTTAACCTGTATATCTCAAATTGTGATAATTATAAATTATTATAAAACACAAATTTATAAGCAATCATACCAAATACAAGTGTTATTGATATACAAGTTAAACAACTAGATAGTACTTTATGAAGAGTAGTAAGGATTAACCGGCTATGTTTTAAATTGAAGAATTAGATGAAACATAAAAAATTACTAATGTATTAATTTGATTTAAATTATGTAACATTCATTATTATTTACTTACTAACTATAATTGTATTTTTAGATGTAATTTAACATTAATCACTTTTTCAGAAATACGAGATGTTTTAATACATCACTAGGGTACAGATTTTGTTGCATTTGCAATTTTTTTTTCTACTTTTTCAATTAATTGCTAAGTTGTTTAAAATGCTGTCATGTAAATACAAACAAAAATCTAAAAGTTTTAAATGCAATTTTCTGCAATTTATGGATTTTTATTGCAATTTTATATAATTTACACACATGATTTAACTTGTTAATACTTTTTAAACGGTTTTATAAATATTGTAAGAGGGTTAGGTTAAGTTAACCTGAAGATTTGGCGGTAAGCGATTTAGTTTATTTTAAGTACTTTCTGCTAATATCAACCGACATAGAACGAAGTTTTTCAAGGTATAAATACTCACTAGCTCCAAATCAAAGGGCATTGGATTTTTAAAATTTTAAAAAATACGGTTCAATTTTTTTGTGCAATTTTTAATGTTTTAAGTGCAATTTTTGGTGTATTTTAGTGCAATATTACAATCTATTTTACTAGTTTTTTAGTACTACAACATCCATACCCTATACATCACAGTCACTTAAAATTTATATAAATTTATTTATCAGACAAAAAATTTTAATATTAAATCATAGATCCAACAAACTAAAAATATCAGATCAGCTATCAGTTATTTTTCAGAAAACACTAATATCATCCCCAAACTCTAAATCACAACATATTCAGATATTTGTTAATTTTTATAGTGTTATTACTTTTATTAACTATAGTTGGTTCTTGATTCTTCTCAACACTAACTTCCAATGTTATTGATTGTTGTGATAGTGATTGAACCTAAAACAATTACCAAAAATTATTAAAACTCAAAAAAAATATACTGAACATCATAAATTGCAAGTATCATCAATATTTTATTTAGTATAGAGACGTGTATGAAAGGATTTTGACTACATACATTTTCTTCATTTTCAGAAAATGATTTGACTGCTTCAACAGGAGACTGTGTTTGTATATTATTAGACGAATTTTTATCTTTAGGTAATAACTTTATTTTTCCTTCTTCCGAAACCATAACAGTATATAATGCTGGGTTAAAATTCAAACGTTCCATTACTACCAAGGGTTTATTTCCTTGCTCATATTTCTAAAAAAAGATAATAAATAACTTTGTTAAAATATAATTTATAACTTATATATAATAAATGCATTTAAATATTAATTAAAACATACAGAAATATGAAATTACAGCCTCCAATGTATGGATCTACCTCTGTTTTATGTACTACATATCTACAAATATGAGAATAGTATGTGGTCTACCAATGTCATGTGTTTTACCTATAGCTGAGAATCCCGCATCATTTATATTTATTACCTACCAATTTATGTTTTATCTTAATTTTTCATAACGATATAAATTAAAAAAATTATCACCAGGTTAGTTGATTAGTGTCGTTTATGGTAAAACAACATTTTTTAAATTTTGAACTACAAAAATAGTTTTTAAAATGCTTGTTAAAGAATTTTATAAAAAATTTGAACTGAAAAAACTACTGTTTAATACCTGAAGATTGCAGCCTACCTTGTGCAAAATAATGTCTCTAATGTGACAGTGAAATAAAACTCTACCAAAAAAATGAACACGGAAAAGTAAGAGAAATTTCCCAGTGTAAAAAAAAGGTTGCCAAACTATCCAATCTATATTTTTGTATCATAGTGTAATATTTATAAATTCTTTTTTCAATTTCTTTATTCTTTTTATATTATTATGGTAGACCATGTCCATTTTGGTAGACCGCATATTGGGAGAGATAGCCAAAATTTCAATCGTTTATACATATTAATTTAAGGATTAACCCATAAATAAGATTAGTAATAAATTATGAATATTATCAAGCATACAACTAAAGACTAGTGATTACATAATACTGCTAGTAAATATTATAATCAAATTGTTAAAGAAATAATAGTTAGTCAAATTTTAGAAGTCTATTTTCCTTAGTTTCAGTTTCATGATTAAAAATGTTTTGCAATGACGGTGTGTAAAAAAGGAACCCCGGTATACAGTTTATATGCAATCAACCCAAGAAAAATGGACAAAATAATATGTAAGTTACATTCTAAAATGTATTGGATATTTTTTTTATACGTTTATTTGTCAGCTCTAGTAATAGGCTTGTTTTCTATGGTAACTTCTTAGTAAAGATAATCTTGGTATAACATAGTATTAGCGCAATCTATCAAAGAAAAATCCAACTACTCAATATATAACCTTAAAAAACTATTATTAAATCAAATAAACTAAGTTATATATTAAAATATTTAAGATGTTTTTTATTTAATATTATATCAATCATCCATATCTAAAATTGAATTTAAGTAATAACAGATTAATTATCTTAAACTGTTTTTGCGGTGATAATGTAGTAAACATTAAAAGTTATTTCACAAAATTTAACTACATATAATACTAAAATTAAATATATTAGACGATTTTCTTTTCATCATTAATGCATCATATAAATTAAACTTTTTCATTAATACAATATATTATTTATTCTTTTATGTATATATATCATTATTAAGCATATAAAAAATACTTAAGAAATTAAATATATTTAAATATGTAAAATTCTAATACTAATAATGATAGTATGTATAATATAATAAATTTGAAGAAACAACTTAATTAAGTCATCAACTAAGATTAATTTTTAACATTATTTCCTTCTCGTTATGTAAGTTATGTGAGATTATTTTTGTCTTTTATTATCATAATTCATAAACAATTAAAAAATTAATGACCACATTCCCATATTATATACAAACAATTCATAATGATATACAAAAGTTACATAAAAGTTTGCTTTGAAAATTGTACCTAACATAATTTTTTTATTAACTATAGATTAAAAGTAAATTATTAATGACAAGTTGTATATTCCTCAATATACATTTGATCATTTGTAACATTTATTTTGTTTCTCTTTAAATAATTCAGAATACAAATATTTATTTGTTTAAAAAACTATTATTTTTTTTATTTTTCAAATATACTATAGATTAAATATAATTTGTATCATTAATATAAATAATGAATAATTTCATAACTGAAACCATGTAATTACAGCATAAATCTGAACTTTTGAAATAACTAGATAAAACTAATGGGTTATCAAAGATACCTTCAATAATATTATATTAATAAAGAAATATAAATGTGAATGGAAAAAATTGAATACAAAAATAATCTTATTTCATATTAGATTATCTTCTATTAGTTCAACAATTCTATTTATTTTTATTACTTACTTCTATTTCTCTCATCATTTTCTCTTTAGCCCTAATTTTTTTGCTATAAAATAAAAAATTTAAAAGTACATTAATAAATGAATAAAAACTTTTAGTTAGTAAAACTTAATACTTACGAATTCCGTGCATTGGAAATTTTGACGTATTTATCGTTTGCTTTACAAAATTTTAAAAAATATTTTTCATGTATCGGCATGTCCCATCTAAAAAATATTGAATAAAATAGTCATAAATTTAATTTATTTTAAATTTAAAAATATTGATGAACTAACGATTTGGCAAACTTCCAGAAATGAACTGTAAAGTAATTAGGATATGGTTTGGTTTCTTTCAGTATTTTTGCACGATAATAAATTTTGTTCCATTTAGCCCAAACCGTATCACCTATAAAACAGATAAAAATAATATTTAACAGTTGTAATAACTAATGTATTCACTAACCATTCTTTAAAATTATTCAATAAAAATAATCAAGTTTATGTCTTGACTTAATCGCTCAAAAAACAATTTTTAGAATTATAAGATATAATATTATTTGAGTATTTAATACTGATATAAGCAATCAGTATCTTTATAAAATTATTAATATTTTATCAGTGGCTTGCTACCTACAAGTAAAAATTGTAATTGAAAAATAATTTCTAATTTCATTGCAAAATAAAAAATGTACAGCATTAAAATTAAAAAGAGATGCAAACATATTTTAAACCTAATTAATTGTTAAATTGTATGTATTAAACTATACAAAATTAGATTGTGTGATTAATAATTTTATACCTACCTAAAGGTAAATTATATTACATGTTAGTATAATTACAAAAATATGATCAATAGTGAGCATGTAAAGTTAGATTTATTCCAATTCCTGAATCATTCTATAGTTTGAACAATAGTAAGAACTTATGTTAATTCTCTCCGAAATGTACACCAGATCAAATAAATTAAAATAATATTTTACATTATAAAGATTTATAATGCTCACCACCACTATTACCCATCATTATTGATCACATTATAAGAGTAAAATCATTTTTGCAATTAATTTTGTTATTTTTTTTTTTCACTTATTTATAATTAAATATAGTTAAAATTTTGTTTAGTGACTAAAAAAAGATAGACTTCACTATCATAAAAATATGCTAAGAATTAAATAAACAAATTTAATTTATAAACAATAAACATACACGTTAAGTAAATATTATAAGGGTATTTAAAAAAAAAAACTTAACTTAAAAGTATATCAGAAACATAGAATACATTCAGTACTTAAACAATAATTGTTAGAATATAAAACATAAGTATTAATGTTAACACTCAAATAAATATTGCTAACTTTTAATAATGATACGAAATTTAAAAATATAAACTATAAAACATGTAACTAATAGAAATAAGCATTTTTTTCTTTTTAATTGGTCAATAATTCTATAATCTTAAAGTTTATTAAAAAATAGGGTTTCAAAAATCACAATTAATGCAAAAATTATATAAAAAATCCAATCCTAGAATATTCTCACGTACAACATTGATTTGACATAGTAATGCAATTGATTATAACAAAAATAAGCAGTTGGCAGAGTGAACTCAAAAAAAAAACAAAACCACAATACAGAACATATTTTAGTCTAAACGTATCTAAGGTTTAATCGGCTGCTGAAACTGGAGGAACTAAATGGCTACGCCGGAACTGCATCACCATATCATTGCTAAACGTGTCTATTTGTCAGGAATAAGTGAAAAAGATAAATGTACCACTGATCAGCGAGGGGGCCAGAAGCATAATAAAACCTCAGACATTATTATCATAATGCATGAGAAGTCAGTTGGTACATGACGCTATGCACAGGCGATCATGTCGCGATGTGCGTTTGCGTAGCGTACGCACGACTAAAAGAAACCTTTCGAAAAATTATTAGACGAATGTTTCAGGCGGAACATTCGACACGTCCGGGCATCAGGCATCAACGACAAAAGCAAAATGCGACGATAATCCGTGACGACGCGTATCTAAAAATTGCGCCACTACCGTAGCGCGCGTCTGTGTTTCTAACTTTTATTTACCTATTGCAAATGGAGTCCGATCTTGAGGCGGCAGTTTAGGCCGTTTAGGGGCCGCCTGGACTCGATTCTTAGCGGATCGAGGTGGCATGGTTGGATGATCTGTGTCGGCGGTATTTCCCGTTGCCGTCGCCGCCGGAGCCGACGGTGCAGCTACGGTTACTCGCCGAAGTTAAGGGACGTTGGCCCGAACAACGATGTAATGCCGTTCCACTCTTTTGACACTCGAGATGACTGGCCGATGTGGGTCCGTTGAGCGCGTAATAAGCAAACGAGAAAAAAAGTTACGAATAATAAATTGATTCGAAAAATTAAACTCGTATGGATCGGACAACGAGCACACACAAGTGCAAGCAAGCTGTACCAGAAATAATCGCTAAAATATTATAACAGTAGGTAGAGCAGTTATGCAAGACAAAGGACAAGTAGACACAACCATCCAGCTCACATCCTACTGCGAGACTGCGAGACAGCGTCACAACGAATTTTGACTTGTCTTGGAAACACAACTAAGTGCTCTACAGGCGCCGGCGGCCGCGGAATACTGTAGTATTACTACGAAGTTTACACGGAGATCGCGCTCTACGGAGGTGGTCAACTATTACCTCCACCACCACCACTGCTGCCGCCTCACGGAAATGCTGATAACTGATAAGTGCGTTACACGGATACAATAATTACGTAGAACAGCTGCTATAACGTGCGGCAGTCGATCGAACATTACGAATTTACGAAGACATGTAAAAATTGTTAATAAATATAACTTATGATTTCGAAATAAAATGATTTCATTAACTCTATGACACCGTATCTATGACTATTATTATTCATCGTATTTTAAAATAATATCATTACATACGGATTGGATTCAGAGGTATACGGTGGAGGTTGACAGGTAGCGAGTTGGGTTGGTTAAAAAATATATAAGGACCTAAGGTACTTTTTTGATCGTCGTATTCCGGTGGTCAATTTGTAAATTAGTTCCGAATCATTTAAATAATATTTATTTTAGATTTATGTATATGTATTTTGTTCTCTACTTCTCTACATATCTGCGGTGAATAATAAGTAACTATATCCTATAGACAAATAGTGGTTTCCTATAAATCATAAAAATACTATTATTTGTATGTAATAATTGTACTTCATTGTTTTGTAAAATTAATACAATGAATAAAACAAAAATAATAAACCTACTAGAACATCAATGTAAATTGTAAACAATTTTATGAAATTATAAATATATTCATAAAGAAAATATGAATTTAAAAATATAAATTTTTATTTGAGTAAATACGTACATTTAATACATTTTTTTTTATTCCAAAAAAAATGTACATATTTAGAAGTAGAATCTAACGTACGTGTATTTCATTCAAATGAGTTCTCTCATGAATTTTATTCTGTTCTTTATCGGATCGCCATACACGTTAAATATTTTGTGTATTTACTTCACTAATCGTTTAAAAAATTATATTTGTTATTCGCCTGCTTATTATGTCAAAATAAATACCAACTAAAAATGTATAATATGAACATTTTTCTATTTAAAATTAAAATATCTTTAAACTAATAACATACATTTGTAATATACATAATGTCATCTTAATATAATATTACGCATTCAAATTATTTTTATTTTTATCATTAATTTAAGTCATTCAGGTTAATGTTTATCAATTTGTATTTTTAAAATGCAATTCCATATTATGATATTATAATTACCCAACTGGCAACTTGATTGCTTCTATAGTTTATTATGAACTAAAATTAAATAAGCAACTAATAATTAGACACTATTATTTATTATTTGATTATAAATCCCATTTATTTATAATCAATGATACTAATATATACTATCTATAAACAATATTATTAAAAGGCCGCTTCCTCCGCATGTGTTGTCACCGTCTTACAAACGTGCAACATATTAAAACTCGTTTTACGTGGACAAGAACTACTAAAGCTGTAGCCTGTAATCCAAATTAAGCAACAAATTTTCACACTAGAAAGAGGAGATTTTGGACTGTGCAACATCGTTTTTTATTTTTTCGATATCAAAATACAAAAAAATTTATTCAAGTTTGAAAAACACAAACATAATGGAATTTTTAACGATAAGAACATTTTTCGTATTAGTAATATCAAAAAAATTAAAAACAATTTTGCACAGTTCAATATTTCCTCTTTCTAAAGTGAAAATTTGGCTACTTTATTTAGATTACAGCCTAAATGGTTTTTGCCCATGTAAAACGGTTTTTACCATGTATTACATTTGTAAGACGGAGACAACACATGCGGATAAAGCGTCCTCTTGTATAATATTTAATACACCAAAAATATATTTTCCTGTTTATTTATTTGAAGTATACAATATACTCTGCCTAAAAGCAAATTCCTTTTCCAGCCCAGACCCTGAAGCCTCCTTTCAATTACTGATAAATAATAGTGAATATGCAGACGCGTAATCAAGTTCCTAAAAGTTGAACGGTTCTATCATTGACCATTGTGCATATGGTTTAAACTCCAATCATTATTAAAAAGACTTCAACAAAATAAATATATTATTTAAGATTTTAAAGTAAAATATTCAACATAATAGACTTTAATAGTTTGTACTTTTATAAAAAAATTTAGAAGACCATCTAGTTTTGAAAATTTATTTGCATGTGCTTTATAGGGTAAAATGTAATATCATAAATATTATATTATTATCATTATTTAAGTGTTACAGAAAATTAAAACCTTATTAGTATAACAAAGTAAGCACATCTTGAAATAGCTATGTAATAATTAATAAGTATATTTCAATAGCAAATTATTAACAATTGTTTTGAGGAACCATCGATCATACAAATTATTTATAAATATATATTATTATTATTATTATTTATTTATCAATTATAATAATTATTAATATTATTATCAGGCTACCAGTTAAGCTTAAGTTTATACTATATAATATATTCTGTCAGTTAATAATGAAACGAGAATCATGAAAATAACTAGGTATATTTCCATTATCCAATTAATTTTAAATTATATTATTATATATTAAATATACCGGTGTACAATATTATACTATTGTCTATTTTTATATGAGACGGTATGGTGTCAAACTCGGGTTTACCGATTAATGAGTCTGATAAATTTAGAAAACAACAATTGTAATCGTGTATCGAGATAAATACAAATGGTAATTTATTTCTCAACATTGAATTTTTAACGTTGGATTTACCTGTTGATAATTTTTTTTTTTAATTTCTAATTATATAATTTTCTCTATTAAAGTATGAACAATTATTGATCACAAAATAAAACAAAATATTTTATAATAATTATGAGAATAATTAATATCTATATGACTATAAATTACTATACGTTATTGATACAAAATAAAATAATGCTTTAATATTGCTTTTTACTAATTTATCTATACTTGTATATAATAATATATTAAATATTAAAATAAAATATTCAGTTTAATATATTAAACTAATTTATAATAATCAGTATACTATGCAAACTGATATTAATGTTATAAATGTTATAATACATAAAGAGAATTATAGGAAGAATTAATGATGCAATGAAATGTAGGTACATAATTGTTTGTGTTTATAGGAAATATAAATAAGTAGTAGCTGGTAACCAAATCTAGATCTAGTAATCAACGTAAATAGGTACTAGACTGTAGGTTAGTAACTGAATTTATAATAATAAAATATTAAATAATAAGGAAATTATTAAAAGATTCTTGATAATTTATCATATTTATGAATTTTTTTTTTTAACTTGAATAAATAGTGCATTATTTTAATTAAAACAAATACATACCTACACGATACACTATCTGAATATTATTATTTAAGTGCATACTAATAAACTTAAATTTATGTAGTTAAATATAAATAGTAGTGTGAATATGTGACATAGACAGTCCAGTACGGCATTACTGTATGTCAGAACTTGGTTCTTAAGGACCCCAAAGCAAAATTAAATTTTGAGCTTATAGCTAAAAAATAACAAAAAATATAAAGAATATTTTTAAGAGTATGACATTGATTTGTCTAAATATTGTCTCAAAACAATTTAAAGTTTATAATTTTTTTTTTATTTTTAAAATCGAATATACTAAGTCAAATAATAATAAAATATAAAACCGATATATTAAACCCTCCAAAATATCATCCTCTAAAATGTTTGTGATATGTGTTTTTAGTCTATGAATATTCAAAAACATCAAAAAAATGATTCTACGTAAATGCGTTTTGTCCATGTTACGCATGGATCAGAGAGAGAAAACAAATAGTGCACTGACATTGTCTCATGTATTTTATCTTTTAGTTACATTTTACCTAGAAATAATAGGTATAATTATACGTCGTAATAAATTAAATACGGTACGTGAATCTATTTTTACGAATTAATAAACCCATGAATATATACGTAATATAGAAAAACCAAATTTTTGTTTATATATGGAATTTTATTAATAATGTATCTCACTTTTGTTTTCTTTTATTTTCTGTAATATTTTCAGTCCAATAGTGGTTTACAAGATACTATTTCGTTACCGTCAAATAAAATCCATACGATGAAATATACAGGTTAATATAAATAATACCCAAGCGAAAAAATGTAAGAAGTCTATGTAAACTGTTAAGTAATGTTGGTATGACGACACATTGCTTATACATTTTAATCTGTTTTAAAAATATTTTTGGATCATACTATAGTGTGATGGAACAGTGGATAAAAATACAAGTACATCTATAGTATGTAAAAGAAAAATAAATTTTTCAGAAATAATGTTTTAATTTATTAAAATGACTGTTTAAGTTTCGTTGAAATGACCTATTCATTATGAATATAAGATCAATTAAAAATATGTTTAACAAAATATATACTAAATAGGTACACACTACACATTTACTAATTAATATGGAGGTGAGGATTTTAAATTATACTTTTTTTTAGCAAACAATTATTATAATTTTGTTATTATATTTTAATAGATATGTATACATTGGTATAAATCTATCTAATTACGCACTTTAATCTGAACCTTGAGGTATCATTCAAACTTTAAAAAAAAAAGTGAAATTATAATATCATATAGGTAATTTAATAAAATAAATAAACATGTATTTCATGGACAATAATTGGATCTGAGAGTTTAATTATTTTGTATTATAATGAATTTCATACGGTATTCAAAATAAGTGAAATACATTAATTCATATTTCACATAATACGTTATAATCATTTTAAATACAAAATTTAAGTTTGCATATTTTTAACAATGATGTTACTGCGTACAAACACACAATTATATATATATATATATATATGTGTGTGTGTGTGTGTGTGTGTGTGTGTGTGTGTGTGTGTGTGTGTGTGTGTGTGTGTGTGTGTGTGTGTGTGTGTGTGTGTGTGTGTGTGTGTTATTTTAACTGTTTTTCATATTTTTATAATATATACTCGAAAACAAATTATGGATTAGCCAAATTTGATATCTGAATATAAAATT